CTATCGCGGGTGAAACCTAGCCTGAACCCTGTAATGCATTTTCTGCTACTGCGCCCGCTTTGCAGACGGGGAAACTGAGGCACGGCGAGGGGCGGTCACACAGCACCGAAGGGTAGAGCGGACACGCACCGGGCGCTCCTCACCTCCCTTCCGGCCGCGTGGCACCGAGAAGCGCCTCCCGTGCCTCGGTCTGGCGAGGCCCGGAGCCACGTGGCCCCTTCAGGGAAGCCTGTCCTTTACGGGACCTCTGTGCTCTGAGCGAGCGCGCACCCCGCCTCCCCCCCCCCCCCCCCCGGGCGCGTGCCCGGCCGCACCTTGATGTCCTCGGCATTGGCAGCCTGCAGCTTCTCGCGGAAATGCCCATCCGTCTCCAGCACGTTGATGACTTCCTGGAGGTACCGGTGGTAGTACAGGCCTGTGTCCTGAGGGGACAGGGGTGAACATAGCAGCCCAGCCCCCACCCCCTCCGGTTCCTCCCTGCACGTAGGCCCCAGGCCCCGCGCCCCGGGCGCCGGCCGAAGGACCCCGAGACCCTCTGCTCGGACCAAGAGGCAGACCTGCCCCATGGGACGAAGGCTCTAGAGCCAGGTGACCCCAGTTCTGATCCCCATCTGCTCTGTAACCCCAGGCAAACTGCCCGATCCTCTGGGCCCCGGCACTCATCTCTTCCCAGGCCGTTAGTAGAGACGAAGTAAACATCACACAGGGAGACAGACACCCAGCGCAACGCGGCGCACAGAGCGGGTGCTCAGGGTGGACACACGAGGGTTTGTTGGCAAGCGGCGAAATATACACTCATTCGTTGTTCATCAAGCGATCGCCGAGCTCCTACCGCATGCAGGTGCCGTGCTAGGGGACCGGACAAGTGAACAAGACAGACAAAAATCCCTAGGCTCCTGGGGCGCCTGGGTGGCTCAGTCGTTAAGCGTCTGCCTTCCGCTCAGGTCATGGTCCCGGGGTCCTGGGATCGAGTCCCGCATTGGGCTCCCTGCTCAGCAGGAAGCCTGCTTCTCCCTCTTCCACTCCCCCTGCTTGTGTTCCTGTTCTCGCTGTCTCTGTCATATAAATAAATAAAATCTTTAAAAAAAAAAAATCCCTAGGCTCCTGGACCCAGACCTGGCATGGGTAGGTGGGTGGCACTCTTCTTCCTGGGCCTCCCTCTTCCATTTGAAAATAGGCAATAAATTTCCCTACTTCTCAGGGCCGTGGTGAAAAGTACATGAGATAAAGGGCCTCGCCCGATGCTAAGGACGTAGGAGACGTTCCATCTATTAATGCTATCATTCCGTATGTAGGGAGCACACAGTAGGAGCCTGATAACCAGGTGCTGATGGCTCAGCCATGCCATTGTGGGTGTACCAATTTCCTGTTGCTTCTGGAACAGAGGGTCACAGATTAAATGGCTTAGAGCAACACAAATGTATTCTCTTAGAGTTCTGGAGGTCAGAAGCCCAGAACAGGTAGACAGGGCCGAACTTATTCTGGAAGCTCTAGGGGAGAATCTGTTTCCTTGCCTTTTCCAGCGGCTAGAGGCTGCCTGCGTTCCTTGGCACATGACCCTGCATCACTGTGACCTCTGCTTACGTCATCACATCACCTCTGACTTTGACCTTCCTGACCCTCTTATAGAGAACACTTGTGATTACATTGAGCCCACCTGGATAATACAGGATAACTTTTCCATCTCAAGAGCTTTGTCTCAATCACACCTGCCAATACTCTTTTTCCCTATAAGGTAAGATAGTCACAGGTTCTGGGAACTAAGGTGTTAACATCTTTTTTTTTTTTTAAGTTTATTTATTTTTTTAGTAATCTCTACACCCAGTGTGGGGCTCGAATTCAGAACCCCAAGATCAAGAGTCTCATGCCCTACCGACTGAGCCAGCAAGGAGCCCCAAGGTGTGGACATTTTGACTGTTTAGCCAATGGGCTGGAATCTCAAATCTGCCAATTACTAGCTAGGTGACCTTGTTGGGACAGCTAGAATGCCTCGTTCAATTTAAATTTCAGATAAACAATGCATAACTTACAGTATAAATATACTGCTGGAGTGTACTTATACTCAAAATTATTCATGCTTCTGTGAAATTCAATTTTAACTGTCTTGTGTTTTTATTTGCTAAACCTGGAAACCTCAGTCCTTGGGCAAGTTACTTAAACTCTCTTGCACCTCAGCTTCCTCATCTATAAAGTAAGGTTGAAGAGCACCCATTGAGGCCCCACAGACCTGCCTCCCCCACCCCCCTCCAGTCACATTGGCCACCTCCATGTCTCTCTACTCACTCTGCTTTCCCCACCACAGGCTGCCCCTGCCTGGGATGTTCTTCCTTACACTTCAGATTTCAGCTCGTGACCCTTCCTCCCTGACCATCACCCTGGTGCCCATTCTCAAGAAATGTGTGGGATGAATGAAGGGAAAGGGGACTCAGAAGTGCCCTTCTGTGTTTGCAAAGATTTCACCAAGCAGAGGCCTAACTCACAAGGTCAGGACCACACACAGGAGCACGGAATGATCCCTTCCAGAGACAGTCACGTGCCCATTATTGATGAAAGCTATAGGATTCAGGCCACAAATCAGGGCCTTGGCCTTGAGGATCTTTATAATTTTTTTTTTTTTTTTTTTTTTTTTTAATATTTATTTGTCAGAGAGAGAGAGCACAAGCAGGGGGAGCGGCAGGCAGAGGGAGAAGCAGACTCCCCGCCGAGCAGGGAGCCCGATGCGGGACTCGATCCCAGGACCCCGGGATCATGACCTGAGCCGAAGGCAGACGCTCAACCGACTGAGCCACCCAGGCGTCCCAACCTTGAGGATCTTTAAAGTTCCAAATTCCCTAAGACCAAAGGTTTCATAGCATTTGATAAACACATGTTGGAATTACCTTCATAATTTTCAACTCCCACGAGCTCCATGAAGCCAGAACACCCCAGTTAAGGAACACCACCTGCCCAAGGTGCTACTGGGAAATGTAGTTCTTTTTCGGGATTCCTTCTTGGGGGAGGGGGGGCGCTTCAAAGAATACAGATTAAGCTAGGGGGTAATGCAGATTTGTCACTTAAAATCTGACCTGATTTCCCCACACTTCAGAGCCAGGGACTTAGAAATATGCACGCACGCGCGCGCGCGCACACACACACACACACACACACACACCCGCCCCGAGTTTTTCACCACGTCAAAGCCCCGGGACTGCAAAGAATGGCAGGCAAACTCCGAGCCGCGGCCGTGGGGGAAGTATCCACCCAGGGGCGACGGGGATCCGCGGGGATCGTAGTACCACTTGCAAACACCTGGCTGGAGAGCAGGGCAGGGCCACTCACGGGGCTCTCGGTCGCGGGGCTCTCCTGCTTGGGCGCCCCCCGCTCCAGGGGCACGGCCAGAACAGCGCGCAGCAGCAGCAGCGGTGACAGCAGGAGGAGGAGGGCTGCGCCGGGCCCAGAGGAAGGCATGGCGGCGTGGCCTGTGGAGGGGAGAGAGGTGGATAATGTCTGTCCCAAGTCGCCCACTCCCCTGGACCCAGGAGTCTGGGCCCCAGCGCCGCCCGCACCCCCCTTCTAAGAGTGAAGACTCAAAGCGTCTCGTTTCCCGGGACACAGGATTCCGCACGTCCAGCTCTTCCTTCCTTAGACCCAGGAGTCCTGGCTCCCAGCACCCAGCAGCCTCTTCGCTCAGACTCAGGAATCCAGGATCTCAACCCCTTTTCCCCAGAACCAAAGATCCAGGCCCCCAGCCTGCTCCTTCGCCAGGATCTAGGAGTACTGGTGCCCAGCCCATCCTCCCCGAGACCCAGTTTTCCAGCCCTCGGGTCCCCTTCTCCCGCTCCTCCCCAGGACCCAATCTAGGACCCCCCCCTCCCAAGCCCCTCACCTTTCCTTCACCGCAGAGGGCGTTTTCCCGGGCTGGGACCTCCGGCGCGTTCCGGTGAGTTCCCCCCTAGGCCACGCCCATTTTCCGCAGAGGACCCGCCCTCCGAAGCCTGATTGGTCCGCACTGGCTCCAGGCCCCTGGGTCCCTGTCTAGCGGCCCGCCCCTTACCGAAGTCGCTCGTCTGTTCTCGAAAGCCTCGCCTCCTTTCTCGGAAGCTCTACCTCTTGACGCCTCATTTCCTGCCTTTTAGGCGAAAGGAAAGCGCAGGCTTTCGAAGAGAACTACAGTTCCCTGCAGGCAGGGGGAAAATGAGGCCACTTCCGCGGGCGAAGAGGCCCCTGCCTTCGCCTCCTGGCAGTTGTAGTTTTCCCCATTTATTTTTCCACAAGAAGTGGTAGCAAGTTACAGATCGGTAGCAGTTGGCACAGGTCATCTTATAAGTTTCTAATATATAATATATTATATATATCTAATATATCTAACATATAAGCCATATATATCTAATATATACACTAGAGAGAGAGAGAGAGAGAGAGCAGAGCGACCCAGTGATGCCGGCTCTCTTGGGTCCCTTTAAGGAACACCTTGCATGCCCTTCCGGTTCAGAACCCTGGAGCAGGGTTGCCTGGCTGCCGTGGAGGCCAAGGGTCATTGCTTTGTTGGAAGTGGAGTGTGGGGGGCCAGGAGGGAGGGGATTAGGGCAGGCCCCAGTGGGAATCCCCCCCCCCCAGCCCTCTTTCTTTGCCTGCTTATTTCCCAGAGACCCAGAGATTAGGTCCCCAGCTAAAGAGAGGGTTAGATATGTTTAGAAATTGGCCAGAGAGGCAAGGTACTGAGGCGTGACTGTGAAAAGCCTTTGCAGGCACCAGGAGAGGAGTTGCCAGGATCCCAGGCAGGCGGGTGCTGGAGATCGGGGGGTCAATGGGGGTCGAGTGTTTGGGGCCCAGAGTCCTAAGTTCCTATGCCTGCGTAAAGGAGAGTTAACTATTTGGGGGAGAGGGAACTGGATTCCTGGGCCCCTCAAAGTCATGAAAGCTGGAAACAGGCTGCTGGGTCCCTGACCAAGTAGGTGCTGGAATTCGGGCTGCCTGGGTCCACTGGTCTGTGTCCTGACTCCTCATTCTGCTTCTCCAGAATGTCTCAGGAGAATGACACGTGGAAGAAAGAGTGAGTGGGGAAAGGGGATGCGCAGGGGTGGAAATGGGGGTGCAGGAGGAACTTAAAGTTTGATTATGCCCACATTCACTCCATTCTGGCTTTATGACCATGTTTTCAGGTTCAGCACCATTAGCCTAGTGGTAAGGGGCGCGGGCCTGGACTTCTGGGTCCTGAAGGGAGGGAGCTACACATGAGGACTCATGGGTCTGAAAGAGGACGGGCTGGGGGCCTGGACTCCTGAATCCTGAGACAGGAGGGGCCTGGGATCTCTGATTCCTGGATTCTAGACAGGCCAATGCTGGGGAAAAAGAGCTTCAGAACTGGTGGAGCAGGCTCAGGTTCTGCTCCTTCTTTGACCTCACAAGTGCTCAGAACCCTAAGTTGGGCAGGAAGAAAGAAGGGAAGGAGGGGGCTCTTGCGCAGCGGGGGGCCCTGCTTGCTGTCACCATGAGCCTGCACCTCTCTCAGGGCGCTGGGGAATGAGCTCGCCGCCATGAGGCTGCAGAAGCTGGAACAGCAGGTACTATGCCAGGGAGTCCTGCCACCTCCCCCCACCCCCCCCGCCCCTTCAGTCTTCCAGAGCTTCCAGGAGCACCACCCCCAAGATTTGCTCTGGGACTCCTGGTCCTCCTTGACTCTCTCCAAGCCTCAAGTCTGCAATTGGGAAATGAGAAAATAGGAATTGGGGATCCTAAGGAAGCAAATCTTGATGATGAGAATGCCCTTCTGGAGGGCAGGACTGCTAGGTCCTGGGGGAGGAGGGGACAGGGTGCCAGGACTCCTGGATCCGAGGAAGGAGGAGCTGAGGGACTGAGAGCCTGGACTCCCAGACTCCCTCCCATGCATGCCTCCCCCTGCCCCAGGCCCTCCTTCACCCCTGTCTTCCCGTCCGGTTCCTGGCCCCCACAAGCCCCCTTTTCCACTCCCGCAGCGGCGGCTCTTTGAGAAGAAGCAGCGGCGGAAGCGCCAAGAGCCCCTCATGGTTCAGGCCAATCCCGACGCTTCCCTGCGGCCCCGGCGACCATGGAGGCGGGAGGAGCGCCTCGCGGGTGACAGGGGTGAGGAAAAGTTCTAGTGTGGGGCAGGAGCCCAAGGAGAGCCCAGTGCAGGGCCCTTGGGGACCCGGGAGCCGGACCTGGCTGAGCTCAGGGGCGGAGCAGGGAGAGCGCGGGGGTGGAGCCTGGTCCGACTAGAGGGTGGGGCGCGAGAGAATCCCGTGATTGGGCTTCCTAGAGCTCTGGGGCGGAGCCTGGGGGAGGTTGGCGGGGGGGCGGCCCTGGAAAAGGCAGGGACTCCATTTCGGGAGAGTGAGGGCTGAAATTAACAAAGCCCGGGGGGCGAGGCCGGGATAATTTAGAGACAGGTCCCCGGAGAGACCGAGAGCCGTGTGTGAGACTGTGTAGGCACAGAGTTTGCAACAGTTTAGCTGCAAGTCTGTGCTTGCTTGAGCCTTAGGATGGACTTTGCGTTCCGAATGGGTCTCCCGGGTTTGGGCGGTCACTCAGGAATGGTGTCTGGGAGTCAGTGAGGGAGCGGATCTTCGCAGAGGACTGGAATTTGTACATCGGGTTAATGGGCTTCGCTGCATCTTCTCCCAGGCCTTGGGAACCCTTTCCTCCAGGAGTACATGCCAGAGGCACATCTGCACTCTGGTGCCCACAGTGCCCTGGGCATCGTGAGCTGCGGTGGAGACGGCAGCGGTGAGCGTGGCCCACTGGCATCGCCGACAGAAGGAGGTAATCTCGAGTCCTTGGGCCGCCTATACCCTAGAACTGCACTCCCACCAGAATCCAGGAGTCTGGAACCTCAATCCTTGCTCTCCAAAGAACCCAGGAGTCCAGGCCCCCACGGGCCCTGTCATCCCTCACACCAAGGAGTCCAGATCCTGAAACTACTCCTTCTCCAACACTCAGGAATCTGAATCTCCAGGCTCCTTCCCCGCCTCCCCACCCCCCAAAATCCCGGTCTCTAGTCCCTCTCCCTTATCCTGGCTACCAGACAGTTCCGATCCGGAGTTGGAGGAAGTCTCCGTGGAGGATGTTCCTGCTTCTCCACCTCCTTATAAAGAGCCTCCGGGGACTCGACGCAGGGGTTGGCCAGCCCGCCAACGACCTGGTAATTTCGGGGACATTGGGTGGAATCTGGTCCCTGGTCCATGTGGCAGATCCTCCCCCCTTTTTTGGTAACAGTTTTATTGAAATATATTTCACATACCATACAATTCATTCATTTAAAGTTTACAATTCCATGGTTTTTAGTATATTTAGAGAGATGAGCAACCATCACCACAATCAATTTTAGAACATTATCATTATCCCGAGGGAAACCCTGTACCTTTTAGCAGTGACCCCCCCCCCCTCGCCCCCCACACCTCATTTCTCCCAGCCCTAGGCAACCACTAATGTACTGTCTCTTTAGATTTGCCTATTCTGGACATTTCATTTGTTTATTTATTTTTTTAAGTTCAATTAGCCAACATATAGTACATCATTAGTTTCAGATGTAGAGTTCAATAATTCATCAGTTGCCTATAACACCCAGTGCTCATCACATCACGTGCGCTCCTTAATGCCCATCACCCAGTTACCCCATCCCCCCTCAGTTTGGACATTTCACTTAAATAGAATAATATAGTATTTGATCTTTCGTGATTGGCTTCTTTTGCTTATCATGTTTTTAATGTTCTCCTATGTTGTAGCATTGTTACTTGTTATTTCTTAATATTGTATGACAATTCCTTCTATTCTCATGACATGACCAAAGAGTCAATAACAGGACTCTTAATTATCACCCCAAACCCCATTCCTCCCTCCCATTTTAGTTCCCAATCTCTCTGATGCGCTCTTTGGGACAAGGTAAAGGGAGGACTCTAACCCCACCCTGTCCTTAGACCCAGGGCAGTCAGAGACTTCTCAGCCAGTGTAGACACCCGGGCACATGGGGGAGGAGGAGGATCTGGCAAATGAGTGTGATGAGTAATAAGGAGAGGCCAGAAACCCAGGATATCTGGCCTTTACCAGCTAGCACTGGTGACCTGGTCCCAAGCTCCTGGGACCCAGGTGTCCTGAGCCAGTTTTCTTCTGGCTCTTTCCACCCCGTAGGGGCCAGTGCGGAGGAAGAGAGTGAATCCCAAGAGGTTGGAGATGAATATGAGGCAGCCAGTCCAGAACCAAACCCTGGCATGGATGGTGACCTGGGACGTGGAGACTTAGCCTCCAACAAGGTGGGAGGTGGCACAGCCAATCAGAATATAGGAGAAGGGCTAGCTAGCTTCGGACTCCAGAGAGGGTGGGTCTAAAACTCTGCAGCCCAATCAGAGGCCCTTTTTACTGGTGGGTGGAACCTGTTATGATTGGGCCATCAGGGTCTCTGTGTGTGTACCATTTATGAAGTCGGTCTAGAGGGTTTAAATCGATGTAAGCACATACATTAAAATCCAGCCCACCGAAAGGCAGCGAGCTTTGGAGAGGGTGAAACAGTGATGGGGGAGGGCCAACAGTTGGTACTCGCAGGTGTTAATGAAAGTAAGATAAATAGTAAGATAAATGGGGAGATCTGGGCCATCTTATATGTTATCTAGACCGAAACAACACTGCTTTTAGCTGAATGGACAGTGCTTTCAAAGAGATTCTCCAGCTGGTAGATGAGGTGGGCGTGGCTTCAGAGGGCAGCTATTAGTGCTGACCAATGAACAGGGCCCCTTGAAGGTACTGGCCAATCAGCACGTGGCCGAGACGTTTGACCAATAGGCAGAAAACATGGTTAAGAGAGGGCGTAACCCTGAGCTGTCACGGCCAATCAGTAGTTGGTAAGCCCGTGGTGGAGGCGGGTCTCAACCATCCCTCAATTTTAATTTGGCGCGTGGACTAGGGCGAAGACTTGGCAGAGAAGAAGGAGGAGTCGGAGTCTACGGTGAGGAACTCCCCACCGGCAGCCGAAGAGGAGGTGTCCGAGACCCCGGAAGGCGAGGTCGGCGCGGGCAGCAGCGATGTGGGGAGCTCACCCCGCTCGCCTCCCCTCGCGCCAGGCCCTCGGCTGGGAGAGGACATGGAAGCTTATGTGCTGCGGCCGGCGCTGCGCGGCCGCACGGTGCAGTGCCGCATCAGCCGCGACAAGCGCGGCGTAGACAAGGGCATGTTCCCCCTCTACAGTCTCTACCTGGAGGCGGCCGACGGCCGGGAGGTACGGTCTGGCTCCCTCTCGAGCAAGCCCCACCTCCCAGTGGCAAGTCCCGCCCCTTTCTGAGCGAGGTCGAGACTTTCACGAATCCAGGCCTTGCTCAATGATGACATTGAGCTAGGGCTTGTGAACTCCAACGCCAAACCCTGCCCTTCACGGAAGCAGGCTACTTTAGCAGTAGCATAGGCCCTAACCAAGCCCATAACTAAGCCTCGACCACTCTTGAGTTGGGCCCACCTTTCTCAAAGTAAGGCCACGCTGTCTCAGGGTCCAAAACCTCACCCCTTACACACCCTCTCGAGGTGTTGGCCCCGTTGTGTTTGTCCAAGTTCCGCCTCTCACTGAGCCTTCTAATCTATCAGGCCCCTACCCAATCCTCGGATAAGTCCCGCCCCCTAGGAACCAAGCTCCTCCCCTCGTGGATTGTCTATTCCAGAGCCAAATCACGCTCCTCTCAAATCTGGCTAGTTTCCCCCTCGGTCTGGAGGCCTCCCTTCAAGGCACTCTCCCAAAAGGAGGCTTTCCCCCTACTCAGTAGTGCTAGACCTGCTTTTGTCAGATGAAATGCCTACCAAAGTCCCGCTGCAATGTTCCAAGTGAGGCTCTTCCCTAGCCTCAGTTAGGCTCACCGCTGCCTGGGCTCAGCCCTGACCCGGGACCCAATGGCGGAAGGAATGGCGGGGCGGAGATATGAAGATGTGAAGCTCCCCTTCAGGACCTAGCTGATGACTTCCTTCAGTGAGAACCGCATCTCCCAGGAAGGCTCAGGATGCTTTTTGCTCCATTACCCTCTCCTCTGCCGTGGGGACACGGTGTTTCCTTGTCTTGGGCCCCTAACCCTAGCCAGATATCAGAAACTGTTTCTGATGGGCTGTTCTTCCTACCCACAGCACTTCCTCCTGGCTGGGCGCAAGAGAAAAAGGAGCACAACCTCGAATTACCTCATTTCCCTGGACCCCAAAGACCTGTCTCGGGATGGGGACAACTTTGTGGGCAAAGTCAGGTGGGCAGAGCCCTGATAGGTGTGAGAAATAGGTGGCAGGAGGCCTCGGGGGTGCCGGGAGGGGTGGGGGAGAAGGGGACAAGCAGGCCACAGAGCACAAGTTCTGCCTGCTCTAGGACCTCTTGTCTTACGGACTGATGTACTGTGTATATCTTCAGGTGGTAGCCCCAGGGTGGGTGGGAATAAGAGAACTAAGGGCTTTGGAACAGAGGTTGACATTTAAGACATTTGACTTCTTGAGAGGCAAGAGGGTGGGACTCCTAAGTTCCCATGGGAGAGGGCTGTGATGTACGCATTCTTGCATCTTAGGGGGAATAAGTTTCCTAAAAGGCAGGGGACTAAAAGTCGTGACTCATCAAAGAAACAGAGCGGATTGGGACTGTAGATGCATGGAACACGGAACTTAAGTCCCAACTAGAGGGTTAATGGGAAGAGTGGATGACATGACATGGGAGAGCACTTAATGTACAGCAAAAACAGTCATTATTTTTACTCTGACCACTCCCCTCCTGGAGCAGATCTAATGTCTTGGGCACCAAGTTCACCATCTTTGACAATGGGGTGAATCCTGAAAGGAAGAATTTCGTCCCGGAGACCGCTCGCATCAGAGAGGAGCTGGGGGCTGTGTGTTATGTGAGTGTCTGGGAGACAAGAGAGAATGAAGCAGGACGGTGGGGAGGGAGAAAGAGCCAGGTCAACTGGAGCATAATACCCCCAGGAGACCAACGTCTTGGGATTCGGAGGGCCCCGGAAAATGACTGTGATCATTCCAGGATTCGATTCCCAGAACCGGAGAATCAGCGTCCAGCCTCAAAACGTGAGTTGGCTAAGGTTGAGAACCTCTGGATCAGTGGGGAGGAAGGTCTGGGGGACCTGCCCTAGGTCCTAAGGGAGAAGGGGGCCCATGGCTTGCAGGTGGTCATATATGAAGCCAGATGGACTTTGTCAGACTTTTATGTTTCTCAAGGAGGAGAGATTAGGGACGCAAAATTTTGCGTCGGGAGGAAAAACGTTCACTGGTGGTTGGTTAACCACGCCCCCTACTCTATCTTATAGGAACGGGAGTCGCTACTGAGTCGCCTCCGACGGGGGGCCAGCCAGGGCCTGGTCCTGCTGCAAAACAAACCCCCGTCGTGGAGCGACGAGAGCGGCGCCTACGTACTCGATTTTCATGGTCGAGTCACTCGGGCCTCGGTCAAGAACTTCCAAATCGTGCATCCGGATGACCGTGAGCTCCTAGGAACCGGTTTACCTGGGCCAGGGAGGCATGAGCGGACGAGAACTACTTCTCCCATCAGCACTTGAGCGTTTTTCTAGGGAGGGCTGATTCCACGCTGTTGCAAAGCCTGCTGGGAACTGTAGTTTAGTGGCCCTCAGGGTTTCTGGGCGTAGTGGGAGCGCCGCACAGCCTCTGAGAAGTGGTAGTTCTCGAAGCTCAGAGGCCCGCGGGAGGGAGTTGAGGAGTGGGGCTAGGCTTGCTTAGTTCCTGACTTCCTCCTCAGCGGACTACCTGGTGCTCCAGTTCGGCCGCGTGGCCGCAGACACGTTCGCCATGGATTTCCGCTTCCCGCTTTGCCCGCTCCAAGCCTTTGCCGTCTGCTTGTCCAGTTTCGGTGGCAAGCTGGCCTGTGAGTAATCCAATGAAATACCATGCCCTCACCAGCTTCTGTGCCTGCTCATTTGGAGAAAGGGCCCCCGCATGCCTTCTTTTGCTCCACCTTACTCATAACCAACCCATCATACTCTGCCTGGGTGCCCACAGTCCTGCGCTCCAGGGGAGTAGGGTTTTCAGCAGCACCTGCTTTCACGGGACTCACAGTCATGGGAGATGGGTCTTAACAAAAAATTAAAATGCGCCTCTGCAGCGAAGGAGAAAAGCACGCGGAGGCACAGGTCAGCTGGGTCAGATCAAGGTATCCCTAAAAAAGTGCTTTCCACACCACATCTGAAGAATCACGAGAAACCAGGACCAGAGGGGTCAGGGGTGGGAACATCAGGCAGTAGGCACAGCTCATACAAAGGTCTTAAGGTGAAAAGGGGCTTGATCGGTTTGGGAAAATGAAAGGATAGTGTGGCAGGAGCCTGGGGAACCACTGGAGAGGGGCAGGGTCAGAGGCTCGACAGGGGACAGGATATTTGAGCCACTCTTCTTCCAGCTGCTGGATAGATCTCATGGGGTCAGAAAAGACTTCTGAGTTGGAGATGTAAACTTGGATGGGTAATTCAAGACATGCATGGGTGAGAGTGAGAATAATTACAATACTAGCTACACTTATCTAACATTTGTTATTTGGCAAGCATTGTTTTTTTAAAAATTTTTTATTGTTATGTTAATCACCATACATCATTAGTTTTTGATGTAGTGTTCCATGATTCATTGTTTGTGCATAAGACCCAGTGCTCCATGCAGAACGTGCCCTCTTTAATACCCATCACAGGCTAACCCATCCCCCCACCCCCTCCCCTCTAGAACCCTCAGTTTTTCAGAGTCCACCGTCTCTCATGGTTCGTCTCCTCCTCCGATTTCCCCCCCTTCATTCTTCCCCTCCTGCTATCTTCTTCTTTTTTTTTTTCTTAACCTATATTGCATTATTTGTTTCAGAGGTACAGATCTGAGATTCAACAGTTTTGCACAATTCACAGTGTGGCAAGCATTGTTTTAAACATGGATTTGGGATGCTTGGCTGGCTCAGTCGGTGGATGGTGGGATCTTGATCTCAGGGTTATGAGTTCAAGCCCCTCGCTGGGTGTAGGGATTACTTAAAAATAAAATCTTAAAAAAAATAAAAAGGCAAATAAATAAATATGAACTCTTTCGGGGCCTTACGATCCTATGAGGCATGTGCTATTGTTAGCCACATTTTATAGGTAAGAAAACAGTCTATGGAACAGGGCTTAAAAAGGTGAAATTGGATTGCTGAAGGCCTTGAGCAACTCACCACTTAAAGGCCAGCAGGAGGATGAGTATATTCCAGGGAGGCACAGAAAACTGGAACTGAACCCTTTTTTAGTGATCAGTGAGTCCAGCTCCCAGCCCCCTTGGGGAGATAATCGTCCCAAGTTTAATAAAATTTAGGCCGATGCCAGAGAAAAACTACAAGACCCACCAGCCCTGAGTTCAAAAGAAGCCTCAGGGCAAGAAGAGGCAAATTTGAGGGATGATGGGAAATACAGTTTGTCCTCTACTGAGGTACTCGCCTTTATCCCAGGGGTAGTGGATTATTGTGAGTTCAGATACACACAGTGATGGTGACATTGCTTTGCTACAAATCAGCAGGTTTTATTTCTTAGATATAACAACCCCCCCAAAATAAATAGCTAATAGAAACAGGAAACTCCATGATCTTAGCCACTCCTCCCACTGAGGTCCAGGCAAGGAGACGGGGACAGAGGAGTGGAGGGAGATGCCCCAACATGGCTCAAGGGTGTGGCCTGGATGGAGGACAATGGTGAGATCTGGGGAGGAGCAGGTGTGGCGGCCAGAGGAGGGGTAGGGTTCCCACAGCGGGCCCAGGCCCTGGCCCGGGCGGCAGGGGTGAGACAGGGGCCCAGCTGCTCCTGTGCCTGGGCAATCCGCCAGGCGAAGCGACTGCGATCCCGGGCGAGCTGCTCCCAGGGTCCCCGGCGGGCGGCCTGGGCCGGTCCTGCCCAGACAGCCAGGAGATGGACAGAGACCTTCTCAGAGAAGTGTACCTGGAGACGGGAGCAGCACGGATGCAAGCCCACGTGTCCACAGTGGGGAGGGGGAGAGAGAGAGAGAGAGAAAGAGAACCAAAACAAAAATGAGTGACACAGAAATGCTTGTTGTCTGAGTCACCTGCTAGTCACTGGCCCGCGGCAGTCTCCACGTGACTCACTGCAGGTGGAGACTGTTTCCTGGTGCTGATCTGAGCCACAGCTGCTCCCCCCTTCCCACGGGGCCCCAGCCTCTTGCAAAGGCTTGCGTTACAGTGAACACAGCCCTCCCAACAGAGTTCACATGCAACCCTCTGCAACACACGGGGGACCCAGAAGTTGGGCCGTCCAGCCCTTCCGCCCCGCCCCCCGCCCAGGCCCAGGAGTTCCAACTCCTCCCTAAGCCTCAAGAAATTGAGTCCTCAGTACCCACCTTTCTGGCCTTTAGGGGAGTCTCAGGGTCTGGATGCCGGGTGGGGGTTTCTGTGGGCTTGAGTCGCCTCTGCAGTCGGAGGGGCAGCCGAGGACGAGCCCAGGGAGGTGGTGGCTTCTCCCCAGGTAAATAGATGGCCACTCGGAAGGGGCAGGGCTCAGCTTCTCCCCACTCCTCAGCAACTTCCCCTCCCTCTGTGTCCTCTCCAGGCTGGCATGTCCAGCCCCGGTAGAGGGTGCTCTGAGCCTGAAGGGAGGGACTTGGCTCAGAGTTAGCTGCTTCTGAATCCTCTTCCGGCTCTGTGTCCTCTCCTGGCCTATATACCCAGGCCCTTGAAAAGGTATCTGTGGCCTCAGCTTCTCCTTCCTCCTCAGCTGCTCCCCAATCACTGTCCTCATCTTCTAACTCTGTGTCCTCTCCTGGTCGATACACCCAAGCCCTCACGAGGGCACTTGTGGATGGGATGGAAGAGGGACCCTCAGCTTCTCCCTCCTCCTCAGCTGCTCCCCAATCACTGTCCTCTTCTTCCTCTGTGTCCTCTCCTGGTCGATACACCCAAGCCCTCACAAGGGCACTTGTAGATGGGATGGAAGAGGGACCCTCAGCTGATCCCCAGTCACCGTCCTCATCTTCTTCCTCCGTGTCCTCTCCTGGTCGATACACCCAGGCCCTCAAGAGGGCACTTGTGGAGGGGATGGAAGAGGGACCCTCAGCTTCTCCCTCCTCCTCAGCTGCTCCCCAATCACTGTCCTCATCTTCTTCCTCTGTGTCCTCTCCTGGTCGATACACCCAGGCCCTCACAAGGGCACTTGTGGAGGGGATGGAAGAGGGACCCTCAGCTTCTCCCTCCTCCTCAGCTGCTCCTGAATCACTGAATTCATCTTCCTCCTCCTCAGATTCCTCTCCTGAACAACACTCCCAGACCCTGGGGTGAAAGCCTGAAAACGAGGGGGAAACGGAGTTCTTTATGACTTCTTTATTCTCTGTTCTTTTTTCCTCTGTGGCGTGATCCTCTTCCTCCCCAGCACAGTACACCCAAGCTTTGGGCTTGGATCCTGGAGATAAAGGGGCAGTAGGGCTTCGGGCAGCTTCTTTGTTTACAGCTTCTCCCTCCTCTTCCTCCTCCTCCCCTGGTGAGTGCGATGGAGGAAAAGAGAACGTGACCACTTCAACTTCCGCAGCTCCTTCCTCAGATTTCTCCTCTCCAGGAGGTTCTTGCAGGGCTCTTACCAGACGGCTGGGGGACAAGGAAGCAGGCTGGCCATCTATAAATTCACTTCCCTGCTCTTTAGGGACACTAGTTGCTTGTTCCCCACCATACTCTTCATCATCCTCTGAAAACTCCCAGGCTTCAAGAGAACTGTTGGCTTTTAGATCATGGCAGCCCTCCCAGAACACTTCATCATCCTCAGCTGCTCCACTGTCTCCAGTCTCCCCTTGAAAGTACCTGCCCCAGGGGGCATGGCAGGTGGCGGGAAATGTCTTAGCTTCTCCCCCCGGGCCAGCTTCTCCCGGATGGGTTCCGGTTAATGCTTCCAACAGCCAGGGTTCTGGAGGTCCTGGGCCCCTCAGGTGGCTCCAGGCCCTGCTGAGAAGGCCCATCAGCGGGGACAGGAGGAAAAAGGGGTAGGTATCCCTCCAGGGGGCAGGCTGATGGGGTACTTGGCCTGGGGCCATCTGTCTGGGCTGGAAATAAACAACAGGAAATAGAGTTTAGAAGCCAAGTAAGGGAGAGTATCAAGGGATGACTGTGAGTCATAGCAACAGAAATAGTAACACAAATAGCAACGAGAGAGTCCCTGCCCCACATTCCTTGCTGATCCCTGCCCCTCCCATCTCCAGCAGAGGCACAGTGTGGTTCCCACCTCTCTCCTCTCAATACCCAGGAGTCTGAGACCCCAGCCTCTTCTCTCAGACCCAGAAGTCCCAGTTCCCAGAACTGAGAATACAGGCCCTCCACTTGCTTCCCTTGGAGACAAAGTCCTAGTTCCTGGTTCTCTCATCTTCCTGAGGATCCACAAATCAGGCCCTCATCACCCTCCTCCCCCTGAGACCCAAAAGTTGCGGCCCCCGCGGGGTTCCATCCATTCCACTGGGGATCCATGAGTCTGGCTTCCAGAACCCTCCTCTCGCCAGGCTCAGGCTCCCAATCTCTTCTCCTTCCCAAGTCCGAGCCCTGGAGTGCGTCCTGGTCCCACCTCTCCCCAGACACAGGAGTCTGGGCTCCCAGACCCTCGTTCCTCAGGACCCAGGGGTCCCGGCCTCAAACCCTCCTGTCTCGGTACCCAGAAGTGCAAACTCCCTCCTCACTGACCAGGAGCTGCTGGGGGGGCCAGGCGTTCGGACCCCTCACTCACCGCCTCGGGGCTGCGCGTCACCCGGGGGGCAAGAGCGCCGGCTCGGGGTGCCACCAGCGATCGCAGATCTGGACGGCTCGGGAGGCCAGCGCGTTCATCTCGCCCTCCGGTGCCGGGCTCGGGGACTCAGGTTATCACCTGCTGCGGCAAGCACCGTCGCGGCCAAGAGATGCGGGCTTCTTCTCGTCGGCGTGAGCGATCCACAGCGAGGCTGGGAACTGGTGCGGCCCGCACGGCTTTTATGGGCCTACGCGCCCGCGCGTGATGACGTCACGAGGGGCGGGGAAGCTTCGAAACCAAGGCGTCAGGGCTGGGGGAGGGGAAAGTAAGGTCGGAATTCTCGCGGAGATTCCGGGGGTTTTGTGACTACACGGCGGCGTTTCCGAGCGCGGCCACGCCCCGAAACACGCGAGCTTGTCAATCAAACGCGGGCACGGCCTCAGCCGCCCGGGCGCTCTCCCAACGGCTCTTGGGGTGGGAAAACGGGCTTCCCGCCCCGACTTAATCATCAGCACCCAGGCTAGAGTCTCCCATCGTCACAGCCGGTCCGCTTCCTTCCGGGGGGGGGGAAGGGGGGGAGCATTGTTTTTACACAGTCCATTTTCACAGATGAGAAACTGAGGCTTGGGAATTAAGTCACTTGCCCGAGGTGGTCGCAGCAGAGTCCAGATTGAGGCGAGAACAAGAATGTAAGCGCCCTGAAGGCAGGCACTTGGCTTTGCTCACTGCTTTTTTTCCTCAGTGCCCGGGATATAGTAGGTGCTCAACAAATACTGGGTGAGTGGACTCGAAACCAAAAACTCAGACTCCTTCCTGGTCTCAAGCACAAGGCTCCATACCTGGATTTCACCCACTTCAAACTCATACAAAAGCTCATACACAGGGGCGCCTGGGTGGCTCGGTTGGTTGAGCATCTGCCTTGGCTCAGGTCATGATCCTGGGGTCCTGGGATCAAGCCCCGCATCAGGCTCCCTGCTCAGCAAAGAGCCTGCTTCTCCCTCTCCCTCTGTTGTTCCGCCTGCTTGTGCTCTCTGTGTGTCAAATAAATAAATAAATAAAAATTAAAAAAAAAAAGCTCATACACAAATTGAAATCCTGGCTGGGTAGAACGACTGAACCTCGTGGGGGTGGGGTCTCCTGCCACAAGTTCCAGGACCAGGTACACAGTCCCAATTCCCCGCCCATCCCCCCTACCTGGTCCATAATTTTGGCCTCGAAATATGCCCAGGGACGATGTCTCCCTCCGGAGGGCAGCATCCTCAGTCTAGAACACAATTCTCACCTGGATCTGAGGTAGATGTTTGACATGGCCACCTGACCCTGCCCTAGCCATAATCCAGGAGCCCAGGGTCACTCTCTCCTCCCTGGAAAACCTGGACCCATCCGCTCAAACACATTTCCAGATGCCCGGCTCCATTAACAACTCAGGAGTCCTGACTCCAGGCTCACACCTTGTCAGGTACCCAGAAGTCTGAACCCCTCTAGTTCCAGGATCCCAGCTACCTTCCTTCAGCGTGCCAGTGGCCGGACCCGGAGTCTGGGCCCAGCTCCTCCTCTCCAAACAGTTAGGAATCCCAGCCCAGCAGGGACCCAAGAGTCAGTGGGGGGGCCAGCCCCTCCCCTCAGCGGTGGGGGCAGCTGAGCCAGGGGTCAGGCTTGGAAGTGGAGGGGGGGGAGGACACGAGGGGCGGGGTCAGCCGGGATTGGAAGGGGAGACCGCAGCGTGGGCGGCTGGCCGACCAGCAGGGAGGAAAGAGAATCGGAGAGGGGAGGAAGACAGAAGGGGAATCTGAGGGAGAGGAGGAAACAGCGTCGGTGGGGACAGAGAGAGAAGGAGGAAGAGCTTGAGGGTGAGGGAGAGAGAGGGGGAGAGAACTAGACGAAAACCTGGGGAGGAGAGACTCTGTAAATCTGAGCGAAAAAGATCTGGAACAGAAACAGTAAGACTGGAAGGGAAATGCTGGGGGGCGGGTAAAAAATGAGTGAGAGGAGACTGGGAGAGACAGATTAGAGACTGAGAGACAAGGTGAGGCCAGAGACAGAGACGCTCTGAAAGAAAGGGAAGAGTGACCAGAAGAGAGGAGAGACGAAAAGAAAAGCAAAACGCGTGTGAGTGAGCAGGTGAGAAGGGAGACAGGTCTGAGAGGTCGTCCCCCATCCCGCCAGAAAAGGAGGGACACTGCAGCTGGGGGCCCCAGCACTCACACGGCCCTCTTGCCCCCGCCCTTGGGACCTCAGAGCTGGTAAGTTCCCTGGCTCGCCTGGGAGGGACTGCCTGGGTGTGCATTCCTGGCATCCCAGAACTTGGCAGGGTTTTCTTGGGGGTGCGGGTGGAGGGCAGGAGACAGGTAGCTGGGGGCGGCCGGGAAAGGGCAGGGACTGGGGGCTCCCTGAGCACAGAGAGGGTCAAATTCCTGCCTAGAGTGCAGGGGGCAAGAATAAAGGAGCCCCTATTCTCTGTCTTGGGCTGCAGACAGCTGCCCCCTCCCCGCAGCTGCCAGTGCCGCCCACCTCTCTTGGCATCACTCTCGGTATGCAGTCCCGGGCCAGGGCCTCCCCCAGCCCCCCAGTCCCCAGACAACGGGCTCTTTCTCCTCAGCCTCCTCCGACCTGCGAGCCCCTGACCCCGTCTCTGTCCCCAGCCGGGTCAGCTGCAGAGACAGGCACACAGACCCTTTCTTTCTCTCCCTAAGCCCTTGATGGAGGAGGGCAGACCTCGGAGCAGCCTCAGCCTGGCCAGCAGCGCCTCCACCATCTCCTCGCTGGGCAGCCTGAGCACCAAGGTTCGAGGTTCTTGGAGGGGCTGGGGAGGAGGGCAGGGCTCTGGACTGCCCCATCCTCCTGTTTCCCAGCCCTGGGTTCTGTGCCAACCCAAAGGATTCCCGTTGTTAAGGGCAAGGACCCTTAGCAATGGGTTCCACCACACCTAGTAAGATCCCAAACTGCCCAACAGCCCCAGCTAGGAATTCACAGGCACTCCCAGCTGTCCCCACCCCTCGGATTTTCCTAATTCAACCAGAGTAACAGTCCCGCTGGACTCCATGCACATCAGTTCTTTTTTTTTTTTTTTTAAGGTTATTTATTTATTTGACACAGAGAGAGAGCACAAGTAGGCAGAGCGGCAGACAGAGGGAGAGGAGAAGCAGGCTCCCCACTGAGCAGGGAGCCCGATGCGGGGCTCCATCCCTGGGATCATGATCTGAGCCAAAGGCAGCCGTTTAACCGACTGAGCCACCCAGGCGCCCCCATGCACATCCAGTTCTGATCTCAAAAGTCAGTTCCCTCCTTGGCTTGGTGTCTAAGGGCAGCCGAGCCAGGGCCTTGGGTTGCCTGCATCCCACGGCACCCAAGACCATCCTGTTCATTTCTGTCCTCCTTCTCTCCTCAGAAGCCTACCAGGGCAGTAAGCAAGGTGCACGCCTTCGGGAAGAGAGGCAATGCTCTCCGAAGGGATCCCAACCTCCCGGTGCACATCCGAGGCTGGCTTCATAAGCAGGTGGAGTGAGCACAAGAAGGGAAGGGACACTGAGTGACGCTAGAGCTTGGGCCCCTGGCTGTTTCCTGTTTCTCTCCTTCCCAGTCTCCAAACGTGTTCCTTTTTTCTAACGAGGCTTTTCCCCTTTTTCTGTCCTTGTTCCCTGCACCCTTTCATTCATTCAGTGACCACTTCCAGAATATTTATAACATGCCAAGCCCAAATAAGACAAACAAGTATCTATAGTACGCTCAAGGGGCGCCTGGGTGGCTCAGTCGTTAAGCGTCTGCCTTCGGCTCAGGTCATGATCCCAGGGTCCTGGGATCGAGCCCCTCATCGGGCTCCCTGCTCAGTGGGGAACCTGCTTCTCCCTCTCCCACTCCCCCTGCTTGTGTTCCCTCTCTCGCTGTGTCTCTCTCTGTCAAATTAAAAATATATATATAAAAAAAATATAGTACGCTCAAGGGGGGGGCAGGGATGGGTACTACATTAGCATATTTCAGATTGTAGGAATTGCTCTGAAGAAATAACACAGGAGGATATGCACAAAAGTGATAGAGGGATGAGGGCATCCTTTGACTCTTGGTCAGGGAAGGCGTCATTTGAGCTGAGAACGAACTGACGAGAAGGAGCCCATTATGCTAAGAGCTGGGGGACAGAGGGAATCTGAGAGTGAGAGGCCCTATGGCAGGCCAAAGCTTGGTGTCTGGAGCCAGCCAAGGGTGGAGATAGGAGGGATGGCAGGGCAGTGATTTGCAATGTGTCCCTGCTAGGAACTTGCTGGAAATGCAGACTGTCAGCCCCCGCCCACCCTAGATCTACTGACTCAGGAACTCTGGGGTTGGAACCCAGGAATCTGTGTTTTAATAAGCTCCCCTGGTGATTTTTATGCAGACCCAGGTTTGAGATTCCCTGCAAGCCAGTAAAAGAAGGGAAGGAATTTGAGATTTATTCTAAGTATGAAGGTAGGCTCTGTTTTGAGCAGGGGACTCCCACCATCTGACATAACTGAAAAAGATCAACCTGACTTCTGTAGGAATGGATTATAGAGGAGAAGAGGGGCACAAGGTTGGAGATGGAGTAGTTTTGGCAGAGGAGATGGAGTAGTTTTGGCAGAGGAGATGGGGAGACGCAGGATTCAGGTTAGGGCTCCCAGTGCCACCTTCCTGGCCTCTCTGTGTGTCTGACCCCGGAATAATCCAATCAAAAGTCTGAGTATATAAAGTCCCGGCCCACGGGTTGTACAGTAGCTCGTTCCAACCTTCTGGTAACTTCTCAATCCCCAATTGACAGATGAGAAAACACGAGTGTCCTAGCCAGGAAATGACTAGTCTAATGGCATAGTTCGAGAGGGGTGGAGCTAGGAGCCCCACTCAGGCCTGACCGAGTCCAGAATCTATGTGAGCTCAACCCCTAAACTCTGGCTTCCAGCTCTCCGGCTCAATCTATTGCAGCAAACATGTGTCTGTTCCTCTCCTCTTTCTGGGTTTCTCCGTCCCCGGGTGTCACTGTCTTTATTTCCACGTTTGCTCTTCCCACTCCCCTTCTACTCAGGCCTCCCTTCCCACTCTGTTTCCCCAGGACAGCTGCGGGCTCCGGCTCTGGAAACGCCGCTGGTTCGTCCTCTCTGGCCATTGCCTCTTCTATTACAAGGGTCAGTGCCCCGGCTGGCAGGGGGTGGACGGGCCCCCCGCCCACCCTCCCTTTCCCTTAGCCTCTTGGCCTCCAGATCCCTGTGCGATCCCTGACCCAGGCCCTCTTTTGCAGACAGCCGCGAGGAGAGCGTCCTGGGCAGCGTCCTGCTCCCTAGCTACACTATCAGGCCAGATGGGCCAGGAGCCCCCCGAGGGCGGCGCTTCACCTTCACCGTGAGTCCGTCCGTTCCCCGTGGGCACTAAGGCAGTAGGCCACGGGGGCAGCCACGGGAGCATCCATTATTGGAGATAAAAAGCCTTGACCAGGGCCCATGGCATCCTCCTTTTTAGAGGGCCCGGCTGTCCAGGTCCCCAGCTGTCTCTCCCCGCAGGCCGAGCACCCAGGCATGAGGACCTACGTTCTGGCCGCTGACACTCTGGAGGATCTGCGCGGCTGGCTGAGGGCGCTGGGCCGGGCCTCGCGTGCAGAGGGGGACGATTGGTGAGTATAGTTCCTGGCCACGCCCCTGACCTGTACCTCCAATCGGAGTCCATCTAATTAGCTCCAGCCCCTCCCCTTTAGGCCCCGCCTCTTCAACGTCCAATCACATATCTTCTAGCTAAGGCGGCTCCGCCCTTCAGGCCCCACCTCCAGGGAACTTTATGTCTTCCAATCAGCAAAAAGTCTTTCTCTTCTAAACTCCGCCCACCATTTTGTCCAGCCCCCCTTCATCAATATTCCATACTCTGACTGGCTCCCTCAGAAGTCTCCACCCCCGGGGCGCCTGGGTGGCTCAGTTGGTTAAGCGACTGCCTTCGGCTCAGGTCATGATCCTGGATTTCCGGGATCGAGTCCTGCATCGGGCTCCCTGCTCGGCAGGGAATCTGCTTCTCCCTCAGACCCTCCTCCCTCTCCTGCTCTCTCTCTCTCAAATAAATAAATAAATAAAATCTAAAAAAAAAAAAAAAGAAGTCTCCACCCCCAAAGCTACCACTTACGGAAAGTCAAATATAAAAAGAAAGGCTTTAGACAAACTGTTCCGGCTTTTCCCAAGTTTCATTCTGGGAATGAATGGAATGGAAACCCCAATGGACCTTGTAGCCCTGCACTAGTCACTTCCACACTCGAGGCCTCAGTTTTCCCATCTGCAAAGTGGGAACAATGATTTATCGTGCACCACTTACCCTTTATTCTGTGTAGGTTCCTGTGCGTTCACCCGTGAAATGGGAATAAGGGCTGTCATGAGGTACAGAGGAGTGATGTCTTTTTCTGTGCCCACTCGTTAGTGGGCGACCCAGGTCACCCGCACGTCCCCAGCCCGGAGAGGGCCCTGGCGGCCCCGGTGGTCCCCCGGAAGTGAGCAGAGAGGAAGAGAGACACGGCTTAGAGTCACCAGAGGTGGCTCGGCTCTCCAGAGGTCGTGGACGGTCCGGGCTGCTCACCCCTAGCCCCACAGCCGACCTCCAATCTGGACCTCGGATCCGGAGGACCAGGAGCCCGGAGTGAGTTGAGGGAGTCTGGGACAAGAAAGTTCTACGGGGCAGAGCGTCAGAGGAAAAGCTATGTTGGGGGCATGGCCTAAGAGAAGGGCGGGGTCTGCGGCTGATTCGAGGTGCGGTTTAGTGCTTTCTCTCTTGAGTGGATGTGAGTTGCTGGAGTTCTTGTGAGGTCAGAACCCATAGAAAGGAAGTCCTAAGGAGGAGATGCCACAAAGGGGGAAGTTTTTCAGGATCAGGCTAATAGAGAAGGGTTCTACTCTAGAGGGACAATGAGACTCACTGAAAGGGGACATGTACATGAGGCTGACTGGGTGGGTAGTAGGGTGAGGGGGCTCTAGTTCACCAGTTCCCCTATTCTCTCTGCCCAACAGCCTATTCACAGCCCTCTCTCGCCCTCCCTCCCCTCTGAGTCTCCCCCGGCCCCGGTCTGCTCCTGCACGCAGACCCCCTCCATCCTCCAGTGACATAGCACCTCTTGCCAGACCCCATACCCCTCTGAGTCGCATTGATGTCCGGCCTCCCCTGGATTGGGGCCCTCAGCGCCAGACACTCTCCAGGCCCCCCACTCCCCGGCGAGGACCCTCCTCTGAGCCTGGGGGAGGAAGGCCCCCCAGGAGTCCCCAGCACTGGAGTCAGGAGGCCAGAACACAGGTGAGCAAGAGGTAATGGGGAGGGAGACTACATTTCCCATATGGCTATGGTCTGTCTTTCCAGGCTGGTCTGCAGGCCATGGCCCCCTGGGCATCATGGGGATTGTGTTTCAACATAATCACATCTGGGTTCAGATGTGAGGGGAAAGTGGACTTCATCTCCCATCAGTCCTCAGGGCCATCTTTTCAGGCCAGTCTCTGGCCATTACACCTTAAGTATTATGGGGATTGTAGTCCAGAATACTGTCCTCCAAGACCGTGCTGGGAGAGGTAGTCTGGAGTGCACCTGTCTTGTGTCTCCAGTTTAGCTTTCCAAGATGGTCACCTGCTATTTCCTCTGAGCATCATGGAATTGTAGCCCAGAATATCCACAGTTAAACACAAATGTGAGAGTGAGAGTAGATTGCAACTTCTATCGAACCCTGGGGCAGTTTTGCCAGGCTTGTCCATTTATTATCATCCTATGTGTTCCCACAGTGGCACAAAGCTGGAGAACAGGTAGTTGAGGAAGTTGGGGGGACCCAGTTGTGAACCTCAAAGAGTCTCCTAAGTCACATCAATTCTGGATGCACTCACTCTAATATTTGTTACTAAAACATGCCAATTTCTAAACATCTCTATTTCAATATTCCTCCCAGGCTCCCTCTGGCTCCTCCACATATCTCCAACTACCCCCGAGAGCTCCCGGGACACGGGCTTCCATGGTTTTATTGGTAGGTGTCCTCAAATCTGCCAGAGCCCCCTCCATTGCTTTCTTTGCTATGGAGAATGTCATCTCCTGGACTAGTGTGCATACAGAAGAGTGAATATTTCAAGGTCCCTTGACTGATGCTTCTATTTGTTTCCTAGGGCTGCCACAAACTGGGTAGCATATATATAGAATATCTCTCCATTCATTCATATCATCTTCTGGGTATTTATTTGTTTTAAATTTTTTTCCATAGAGATCTTATATGCTCTTGTTAAGATAACTCCTAAATTCCTGATAGTTTTTATACCTATTTAAATGGTATCTTCTTTCTTTTAAATTATATTTTCTAGCTATGGATGGTGTAGAGATAGGCTGTTGATGTTTGGAACTTCATCTTTCATCTGGCACCCTTGCTGAATTCTTTTAGTTTTTTTTTTTTTTTAATCAGAGTTCAGCATGAATACTTTTATATAATTGAAGGAAATTAAGCCACATGTTGAAGATGAACTGTTGAGAAAATAGTACATTTTAAAAAGGAGATTCCTATAATCAATTGACCATTCCATTCACATTAAAGCACTCATAATTGAAGCATTTTTATTTTATGTACAATGTGTTGGCATTAAAGTAGGTATCTTGGGTATCCGCAGTTAAGGTAGGTTATCCTGGATGACCAATTCAAGGAAGTTCACTTAATCCAACTTAATGAAGCCTATGTCCTTCGCGTACTGACGGAAACACTGGCGGCACATATTGAGGCCGTATTTCCGGATCAGACCGTGCCAGTTTGAGCAGACGCGGCAAGAACGAGAACCCTGGCCAAATTTCCTCGGATGGCTCCAGTACAGCTGCTGGTGACCCATCTTGCTCTCTCGGATGCAACGAGGCAAAAGCTTAGTTTTTTTTTTTTTTAAGTTTTTTTTTTTTTTTAAAGTAATCTCTACACCCAACGTGGGGCTCGAACTCAAGACCCCACGAACAAGAGGCACATGTTCCACTAACTGAGCTAGTCAGGTGCCCCTAAATTCTCTTATTCTAATCACTCTCTGATTTCGTTGGTTTCTCTGGGTCGATGAGCATATCATTCCTATTCTTACACTTCTACTTGTTTCCTTTTTCTTTTCTTATAGCATTGGTCAAGATCTCTAATACAGTGTTAAACTGTAACAATAGTAGCGAGCATCCTTATTTTATTTTCAGTTGTAAAAGAAATGTCTAAATGTTCTCCATTAATTATAACATTGCTGAAGCTTTTTGATAACAGAGTCATTGGATCTTCCTAAAGCCAGGAATCTGGCATGTGGTCTCCTGAGGTCTGCTAAAGCTTGGAACGAAGCTAATAAGCGGGTGCCTGGGTGGATCAGTCAGTTAAGCATCCAACTCTTGATCTCAGCTCAGGTCTCTATCTCAGGGTCATGAGTTGAAGCCCCAGGTTGGGCTCTGGAGCTTACGCTTACGCTGGAGCTTATGCTGGGCATGGAGCTTACATTTAAAAAAAGGAAAAAAAAAAAAGCTACTAAGGAAAAGGGGGTCTATCAATAGAAACAGGGCTTGACTGAGCACTAAGCTACAATAAAGGCCTGTCTGTCCATGTGACCCCTGGCTTTTCTCCTTCTCCTCAGCCAGGTCCCCCCCTGGACTCAAGTTTTCCCCAAAGCTTAGAGACAGATGTAAGTTTCTGTGGTTTAAACCCTTCCAAGTACTCAGAGTTGGGGGAGAATGCTTTAGATGGTGGTGGGGTGGGGAGTGGCAGGGAGGACAGGGGAAGAGCCAGGTCTGGTCCATAAGTAGCACCTGTTCTCCTTTCTCCAGACTCTGTTGACCAAGTTGTGTGGGCAGGACCGGCTCCTGAGGAGGCTGCAGGAGGAGGTAGACCAGAGGCAGGAGGAGAAGGTATGAGGCTCTGAGATGGGGAAGGACGTTTGGCCTCTCCCTTCCTGCTCCCCAGCACACCCAAGGATTTGGGAGGACACCTTTTCTCTATCCCTGGGGCTGAATGTGGATTCAGAAGCCTAACCACCCTCCCTTTTGGTGCAGGAGCAGCTAGAAGCTGCCTTGGAGCTGACCAGGCAGCAGCTGGGCCAAACCAGAGAGGCTGCGGCTCCAGGGAGGGCATGGGGGCACCAGCGCCTCCTGCAGGACCGACTGGTCAGTGTGAGGGCTACTCTTTGTCACCTGACTCAGGTGAGCATCTGGGAAGGAGCGTGCCCTCCCAGGAGGACTCTACAGGGTGTTAGCGAAGGGAAACCTGACAGCAGAAGCTCATGGGAAGGTTGTTCTTGAGAATTCTGCTCTCCCCAAGTTTTTTTCTTTTTTAGGGGAGTGAGAGGCAGAGGGAGATGGAGGGAGAGAATCTTAAGCAGGCTCCACGCCCAGCGTGGAGCTGGACCCCGGGCTCCATCTCACGACCCTGAGATCATGACCTGAGCTGATATCAAGAGTCGGGTGCTTCACTGATGGAGCCGCCCAGGTGCCCTCCCCCCACCCCAAGTTTTAAATCAGTCATCTTGACAGTCTTAGAGGGCGAGAGGCAAGCAGCCAAGAAACAGGAGACTTAATTTAGTGAGTTGAGAGGGTGAATTTGATATGGGCTTCCTAGCTTTGAATCTCAACTCCGACTCCTATTCATTGTAGCTGTGTCACCTTAGAGAAGTTACTTAACCCCTCTGGGCCTTAGATACCTCTTATGTAAACTTGAAATAATAAAAATAGTATTTACTTCATGGAGTCATTATAAGAATTTCATAAATACATATATTTATACATAACATACATGAATGAATGAATAAACACTGATGTATTATATTTAATATAGAATGTATTTTATATATTTATATATCTTATATATAGCATATAAATATACACATATATAAATATAAATCATATAAATGTCATCTAAATATATACCTTAGAAGTGTATATGAGGGCTCCCGGGTGGCTCAGTCGGTTCAGTGTCTGCCTTCGGCTCGGGTCGTGATCCCAGGGTCCTGGAATTGAGTCCCGCATCGGGCTCTCTGCTCAGCGGGGAGTCTGCTTCTCCCTCTCAAATAAATAAATAAAATCTTAAAAAAAAAAAAGAAGAAGTGTATATGAGTATTTAACAGGTGCCTGGTATATGGTAAGAAATATTAGCTATAATTATTATCTGTAAAATGGAGACATTAATAATACTTACCTCATGAGAATTAAATGAGAGCTAAGAACAGTGCCTGGCACATGGTAGGTGCCTAATCAATGTTAACTGCTATGATGATGGTGATGCTTCCCCGGGGGGCACTTGGGGCTCGTGATCTTGACTGTCCCAAGAGCTTATTGGATCAGTAGAGTCTATCTCCCTAGGGGAGTTCAAAGGTAGTCAGAGAATTTAGGAAAATCTGTTATTTGTCTACACTAGCAGCTCATTGGAATGGCAGGTTCCATATAGACTCTGGGGATCCTAGTGGACTGAGCGAAGAGGCTCTTGGGAATTGTAGTGCATATACCCCCCAGGGCACTAGGGACCACGCTTCTCTTCCTCCTCGTCAGCTGGGGAAAAATGGAGTGGGGAAAGATCTGGTGGGTGGGCATACTAAACCTGTGTCTCCCCCTTTTTGGGACCTGAGGAGCGAGAGCGGGTTTGGGACGCATACAGCAGTCTGGAACAGGAGCTGGGCACCTTGAGGGAGACCCTGGAGTACCTGCTACACCTTGGTTCCCCCCAGGTATGTCCCCCAACTCCACCCTCTCCGCCATCTTCCCCTGAAAACCCTTTGGGCATTGAAGCCCCTCCCACTTCATTTCAAGCTCCTCCCCCCGTCATTGCCTTTCATTTTAGTGTTTTTTTTTTTTTTTTTTTTTTTTTTATTCATGAGAGACAGAGCGAGAGAGAAAGGCAGAGGGAGAAGCAGGCTCCCAAGGAGCAGGGAGCCGGATGCGGGACTCGATCCCAGGACCCTGAGATCATGACCTGAGCCGAAGGCAGACACTTAACCATCTGAGCCACCCAGGCGCCCCTGCCTTTCATTTTAAACCCCTTTTTGTACTTGAGATCATGCCCTTCATTTGAAGACCTGTCTCAGGTTCGGAACCACTCTCCCCTCTGGTTCTAAATCTCTCCTCTAATTTTCAAGCCCTGTCTTCCAGTTCAAAGCTCCACCCCTCAGCCCTGTCCCCATCCTGCCTCCTGACTTTTGCTGTTACATTTATCCTCTGGAATTTCTAGTTCTAAATCCAATCCCTTGGTTCAGGCTCCGCTTCTGAAGTATAAGCCTCCTTGCTTAGCTTCAGACCCACTTCTTCATCCTTTTTTTTTTTTTTAAGATTTTATTTTTAAGTAATCTCTACACCCATGGTGGGGCCTGCACCCACAACCCAGAGGTCAAGAGTCACAAGCTCCACTGAGTCAGTAAGGAGCCCCTCCCCCCACTTCTTCAATCTAAGCCTAATAACTGAGTTTCTGAAACATATATCTTTAGTTTAAAATGTTGACTTCCTTTTTTGTAAGATCTATTTATTTATTTTAGAGATGGGGGAGGGGCAGACAGAGAGGGAGAGGGGGAGAGAGTCTTAAGCAGACTCTGGGCTGAGATCATGACCTGAGCCAAAACCAAGAGTCAGATGCTCAACTGACTGTGCCACCCAGGCACCCCTTAAATGTTGACTTCTAGGGGTGCCTGGATGCTTAGTTGATTAAGTGTCTGACTCTTGATCTCAGGTCTTGAGATCGGGGTGGTGGATTCAAGCCCAAAAAACGAAATTAAACAAACTGTTGACTTCTAGTATTAAATGCATACTCACAGATTTAAGCTCTGCTCTCTTCATGTTAAATCCATTCCCTTTCTTCCTAAAATCCACCCTTCAACTCTAATCCCCCACCAATTAGTGTTAAATATCTCTCAGCACCAGAAATATATGAAAAGAACCAAATAAGCTTTATTACAGGAATGCAAGGTTAATTTCACACTTGAAAATCAGTCCATGTATTTCACGACATTTTAAAATTTATTTTTATTTGTTTATTTATTTATTTATTATTTTTAAAGATTTTATTTATTTATTTGACAGAGAGAGAGATAGCGAGAGAGGGAACACAAGCAGGGGGAGTGGGAGAGGGAGAAGCAGGCCTCCTGCGGAGCAGGGAGCCCAATGCGGGGCTCGATCCCAGGACCCTGGGATCATGACCTGAGCCAAAGGCGGATGCTTAACGCCTGAGCCACCCAGGCACCCCTCACCACATTTTTTTAAAAAGGAGAAAAGGCACATGATCATCTCAATAAATGCAGGAAAAACATTTGACTAAATTTAATATCCATTAATGATAAAGGCTCCCAGCAAAATAGGAATAGAAGGGAACTTCCTTAATCTGATAACACATCTATAACAAACCTACAGCAAACCTAATTGGCAGTGAAATATTGAGAATTTTCTGCCTGATAGCTGGAATAAGATGAGAGTGTCTGCTATTACCAGTTCTAGTTAACATTGTACCAGGGGTCCTAGACAGTGCAAGTCTAGGAAATAAAGGTGTAAGGACCAGAGAAGTAAATCTGTTTTTTACTTACAGATGACACATGATTGTATAAATGTAGAAAATTCAAAATAATCTCCAGATAAGCTATTAGAATAAACAAATTCATCAAGGTCACTGAATGCAAGGATAATATGCAAAAATCAATTATCTTCTTGTATGTTAGTACCAAATGAATAGAGAATAAATATTTATAAGCAATAGTGTTTGTAATTGACATAAACAAATTAAATATCCAAGAAGAAATCTAATGAAATATATACAAGACATCTATTCTGAAAGCCACAAAACATCATTGAGAGAACTTAAAAAAGACCTAAATAAATGGAGAGATATACCATGTTCGTGGATAGAAAAGATACATAAAGTAAAGATGTAGTCTCCCCAAATTGATTTAGAATCCCAATACAAATCTGGGAGGTTTCTATGTAGAGATTGATGGGCTGACTCTAAATTGTGTCTGGAAGTGCAAAAGACTAAGAGTAGCCAAGGCAACCTCCAAGAGCAAAGCTGGAGGACTAAGGCAAATAAATGTCAAGTCTGACTGTAAAGCTACAGTTAATAAGACAGTGTAGTTTAGACAAATGGACCAAAGAAATAGAATAGGGTATTCAGGAACAGATTCACATATTTATATGCTCACCTATGTATAACAGGTCACACTTTAGAGCAGATTAGAAAAGACCATGTTTGTGGTAAATGGTGGTGGGTCAATGGGATATCCATATGGAAATGGATATCCACAAGTATAACCTCCCCATGCGTACATAATCCATTTAGGACTCCATAAATATAGCCTCACTGATTTCAGACCCAACTTTAACCCTCCTGGCATTTTCCCACCTTTGAATAACAGATTTCTTTCCTCCTCCCAGGACAGAGCATCTGCTCAGCAGCAGCTATGGATGGTGGAAGACACGCTGGCAGGTCTGGGAGGCCCACAAAAGCCACCCCCCAACACTGAACCTGACTCCCCATCCCCCGCACTCCAAGGCGAGGCGTCATCAGAGAGGGAGGTGAGACTCACAAGTCTCTCTCCCCACCCCCAGCTTCCTGTCCCATCTGCACAATTCATCACCCACTCAACCTTTTTCTCTCTCCCTTTCTTTCTCTCAGCTAACCATCCACAGGCAAGTATCCTAAACTCCAGAAGCCTTTGTTTCTTTGTTATATTGTGATGGTAGTCCAGTGTTATGCTGGAGCCAGCTCCCAGCACCTCCCAAAAGCCACTTCTGTGCATCTCATCTCAACTCCGTATTCAGTGATGTCATATTGGTAGCTTGAAATTGACCATGGTGGGAGTATTTGCACCACAGAGATTGGCCAATGCTGCAAACCAGGGTGGTTTTCTCCCAGAGAGGCATTTATTCAACATTTATGAGACACCGCTGATCATAACCCTCAACTTGTAGGGTTCTGTAAAAAGGAGAGATGATGATTAGAAAGTGTCTGACACGGAGTAGGCCCTCAGGAGGCAAGAGCCTCTGTTGCCGTAGTTGGGTTAGAGCTGCTGTGGGCCTTGATCATCTGATTGTGTATCTGAGAGACCTGGGTTCAGATCCCAGCTCTGCCATCTTTGTGATCTCAGCCGTCGACTTCATTCTTGGGGCCTTGGCTTCTCCATATGTCAAATAGGGATAATAATTGCTGCTTTGCAGGTTTATGGAGGGGATTCAATGCGATCTTCATATCAAAGATGAAATGTGGCCCAGAGAGGTAAAGTAACTTGCCCAGGGTCACACAGCTCATAAATGGCAGAGCTGAGATTTGAAACCAGACTGGTTTTCAATCTGACTCCTATTCATGCTGTGTCTTGGTTGCTGAGTGTCTGAGAAATAGTAAGAATGACGATGATAGGGGCGCCTGGGTGGCTCAGTCGTTAAGCATCCGCCTTTGGCTCAGGTCATGATCCCAGGGTCCTGGGATCGAGCCCCGCATCGGGCTCCCTGCTCAGCGGGAAGCCTGCTTCTCCCTCTCCCACTCCCCCTGCTTGTGTTCCCTCTCTTGCTGTCTCTCTCTCTGTCAAAAAATAAATAAAATATTTAAAAAAAAAAAAAAAGAATGACCATGATAAGCATTATTCTCCTTTCCTGACCCCTCCAGAGCCTGCCTGAGTCCTTGGAACTGAGCTCATCCCGGTCCCCTGAGGCTGACTGGGGACGGCCCCCGGGGGGCGACAGAGACCTCTCCAGCCCTCGCTCAGGTGAGCGTCCTGGGCTGGATGGGACTTGCTTGGCATTCCCTGCCCTCACCAAGTCCCTGTTCTGCACTCCCAGGTCTTGGATCTCCAAGGGTCTCCCGGGCCTCCAGCCCCGAGAGTCGCCGGCCGGCTTCCCCACAACCAGGAACCAAGGTAGGTGGTCCATCCGCGCGTCCTCAGGCCCATCTGTAACCCTTTAACCTGACCACCACCCACTCTGGGCAAACAGCTGGGAGAAAGGAGTTCTGAGATTATACCCCAGAGCACAGAGAGTGAGATTTGTTGAGAGTGCTGGGATTGAATTTTGTCTCTGCTAATTCTAAGCCGTGTGACTTTGGGTCTGTTATGAAAACCTCTCAGCCTGCGTGTGCTCATCTGCAAAATGGAGCTCCTAGCACCCCACTCCCCCATCCCCGCCAGAGCTGATGTGAAGATTCAAACTGGATCTCAAACTAGGGTTGAAAATAGTGCTTAGGGACGCCTGGGTGGCTCAGTCAGTTAAGCATCTGACTTCCACTCAGGTGGTGATCCCAGGGTCCTGGGATCGAGCCCTGCGTTTGCCCCTCCCCATCTCCCTCCCCCTGCTCCTGCTGTCTCTCACTATCTCTCTCTCTCTCAAATAAGTAAAATCTTAAAAAAGAAAGAAAGAAAGAAAGAAAAGAAAATAGTACTTAGATGTATTAAGGACTTCATTCATTCATTTGAAAATATTTATTAAATATCCTCATGGCTGGGGGCGCCTGGGTGGCACAGTTGGTTGAGCATCCCACTCTTGGTTTTGGCTCAGGTCGTGATCTCAGGGTCATAAGATGGAGCCCCGAGTTAGGCTCTGCACTCAGCCCGGAGTCAGCTTGAGATTCTCTCTCCCTCTGCCCCTCCCGCTCGTGCGCTCTCTCTCTCTCTCTCAAATAAATAAAATAAATCTTAAAAATATATATATATCCTCATGGCTGCCCAATAAGGTAGCGGGTAGCTACATCGGACTATTTAAATTTAAATGAATTAAAAGGAAATAAAATTAATTAATTAATTAATTTAAAGATTTTATTTATTTGACAGAGAGAGACACAGCGAGAGAGGGAACACAAGCAGGAGAAGCGGGAGAGGGAGAAGCAGGCCTTCCACCGAGCAGGGAGCCCAGGACCCTGGGATCATGACCTGAGCCAAAAGCAGACGCCCAACGACTGAGCCACCCAGGCGCCCCGAAATAAAATTTTTTAAAAATCGCTTGCACTCACTGCATTTCTGGTGCTTAGGGGCCACCCGTGTGGCTGGAACCGAGTGAGCGAGCGAGGGAGAGAGGGGTGGAGAGGAGAGGAGAGATGGGTATTGGCGGTGGACCGTGCTGGGGCTTGTGGTTCAAGGTGAGCCCCGCGGAGGGTTCTGAGCTGCGATAAGCGGGAGCCGGCGCCCTCTGCCGGCCATGCGGGGAACAAGCTGTGGGGCGAACTCCGAGGCAGGGGACCCAGTGAGGACAGTCCAGGCGGGAGATAACCTAACTTCCACTAGGTTAAGTGGAAGAACTGAAGATGTTGAGAGGAAGGTAGATTATAGTTATACCGATCTTCAAACTTTATCCAAAACCCTGGGGACCAGATGTAATGCAAAATGCCAAAATTTGCAGATTCTAGGGCCGCCTGGGTGGCTCAGTAGGCTAAGCGTCTGCCTTTGGCTCAGGTTATGATCCCAGGGTCCTGGAATCGAGGCCCACATCCGGCTCCCCGCTCATCGGGGAGCCTGCTTCTCCCTCTCCCAATCCCCCTGTTTGTGCTCCCTCTTTCTCTGTCAAATAAACAATTTTTTAAAAAATTTGCGGATTCTAGGCTGGTAGTAGGATGCATATACTGTGTATTATATAAAACCTTCCGGCGCGCCTGGGTGGCTCAGTCGTTAAGCGTCTGCCTTCGCTCAGGTCATGATCCCGGGTGCTGGGATCGAGCCCCACATCGGGCTCCCTGCTCCCTGGGGAGTCTGCTTCTCCCTCTCCCACTCCCCCTGCTTGTGTTCCCTCTCCGCTATGCCTCTGTCAAATAAATAAAATCTATAAATAAATAAATAAATAAATAAATAAATAAATAAATAAATAAAACCTCCAGCAGCGTCTGGCACAGCGCCCTTAATCAGACACATTACATTCCTCTAGCAATACTATGAATATTCATACTTAAATGGGACTCAGTTTATAAATAACCTCTCAATTTAAATTTGTGGTTTTTAAAAATAGAGCAATGAACAACTAAATGATTGATCGAGTCAGAGTGGAATAAAAATGGATTATAAATATCATACACTTTTTATTTCTTATTTTTTTGAAGATTTTACTTATTTTTTTATTTGAGTGAGAGAGTACAGGTGAGCGGGGGAGGGGGGGGAGGTGAGGAACAGAGGGTTAGGAGAGGGACAAGCACACTCCTCACTGAGCACGGAGCCCAGTGCAAGGCTTGATCTCATGACTCTGAGATCATGACCTGAGCCACGTAGGCGCCGCTGGGAGGTCTCGTTTTGTTTTTTTGTTTTTTTTTAAAGATTTTATTTATTTATTTGACAGAGAGAGAGATAGCCAAGAGCAGGAACACAAACAGGGGGAGTGGGAGAGGGAGAAGCAGGCTTCCCGCTGAGCAGGGAGCCCGATGCGGGGCTCGATCCCAGGACCCTGGGACCATGACCTGAGCCGAAGGCAGATGCTTAACGACTGAGCCACCCAGGCGCCCTTTTTTTTTTTTTTTAAAGATTTTATTTTTTTATTTGACAGAGAGAAACACAGTGAGAGCAGGAACACAAGCAGGGGGAGTAGGAGAGGGAGAAGCAGGCTTCCTGCGGAGCAGGGAGCCCGATATGGGACTCGATCCCAGGACCCTGGGACCAGAGAGGTCTCGTTTTAATTGAGCAAACCAGTTGGAATCTCTTGGTCCCTGATACACATACACTGTTGAAGATCAGCAATGAACTGTATAGCAGCTGAGGGACCCCAAGATGGGCCACTTCAGCTTTGGCACGATGATTATTCTGAGCTGAAGGTAGTTGAGACCCTACGGGCTCAAGAGAAACTTTTGCCCCTCCCCTAACTACATAGAAGAATCTAGATTGGGGGTCTTTCCCAGATGAAACGTTATTAGCTGAGATAAATGTTATCTGAGTGACCCATCTGTAGGACAGGGCAACCATCTAATTCCTAAACCTCTGCTCTTTTAATCACCCTGTGAAGTGTGATTTTCCTTTCCTTTCCCCTGAAGTCCCAGACCGCTGCCCCCTTCTCCCTGGTTCAGAACGATATACATAACCTCATTTTGCCCGACTGCCTTTGGAATTTCCATGTCCCTGTGGATTCCCCATGCGTACCCTATGAAACCTGAATTTCTCCACTTAATGCTACCTCGAGCTATGGAGAGAGAGGGAGAGAGAGAACATGAGTTGGGGGTAGGGGCAGAGGGAGAAGCAGGCTCCCCACTGAGCAGGGAGGCGGACACAGGGCTTGATCCTAGGACCCTGGGATCATGACCTGAGCCGAACGCAGACGCTTAACCGACCGAGCCACCCACGCACCCCAAGGATCTACGCTTTTGAGCTGAATTTGCTGGGTGATGAACCTCTGCATCACGACCTCTATTTTTCTGTGGCTCCCCCCATCCTAAAGCTGGTAGAGGGGTCCTGCAGGAAAAGCTTGGCTTCTGGTCTTGGCAGGACCATTCTGATGCCCACAAAGAAGACATAAGCAGATGGCCAATCCAAGCAGTGTGTTAGGAGGGCCAAGGAGCTGCCATTTCTCCCTTCTCCCCTGAGCTTTGAGGGGAGGTAGCTGCAGGAAGAAATCTCAAATCCCTTTATTTGCTCAGCATATAGAGGCCTGCTGGGGTCCAGGCCCTGTGGGAGGGGTTGGGGGTCCAGCCAAGAATTAAACCTGATGCTCCCGTCTGATGGGAGAGAGATACAAATCCAATCCTACATAACCGACAGGGATAAGACTCAAAGCATCAGGAAGCCTTTTAAAGGATAGGGAAGTTGGGGGGCCTGGCTGGCTTGGTTGGTAGAGCATGGGACTCTTGATCTTGGGGTTGTTAGTTCGAGCCCCACATTGGGCGTACAGATTACTTAAAAATTAAATTTTTTTTTTTTTAACAATTGGGAAGCTGAGTCCAGATGAGTGAAAAAAAGATGTGGGCCTTGCAGAAAATGGTCCTTCAGACAGAGGGTGCAAGCTGTATGTGCAACAGCATGGAGGTGATCCCGACAGAGCCTGCTAGTCTGTGTTGGAGGCAAAGCTGAATGTATGACTTGCTTAAGACAGACCTATTCTTAAGATGCAGTCTCCGCAAGCAAAGCGGAGAGCCGATGTCCTACCATGGGGAGTTGCGAAATTGCTGGATTCCAGAGGCAGGAGTGTTTAGGACTGGGAGCTTTGGCTCAGGTCATGATCTCGGGGTCCTGGGATGGAGCTCCTGTTTCTTGGAGGATTCAAAGCCGGCAGGCTGTAAATGGCTACAATTATCTGCCTACTTGGGCTGTGTCTAAAACAAGTGGGTGTGTGAACCTTGGAATTTGGTGATGGCGGCTTGGGGCCAATGGTCTGGCCCACTGGGAAGAAAAAATATAGGGTCAATATACAGGGGCCATCATTTTTACAGCAGGTGGACCTGTGACTCACAATTGCCCAGATCAGAACCAACCAGAGTAAACTGACCTTATACCAGGCAGCTGATCCCAAGCCGGCTCCCTAAAATCTTCTAGTAGGAGGCTGCAGCTAAGGGTTCTCTTCCCTCTGGTTTTGTTTGTTGAGACAACAAATGGATTGTCTTCGGGTCATAGGCCAGAAGTCCAAAATCATGCTCCTTCAGAAGGCACCCGGGAAGGGTCTGTTCCCAGGCATCTTATATATGGTCCCTTGACTGGTGGCAAGAGAACTCCAGGTGTCCCCTGGCATTCTTGCTGTATGCGTTTGTGTCCACATGGCCCCCGTCTCCTGAAGGATGACACATATCTGCAGCAGGAGAGATCTGTCGGCCTGGCCTGGTTCCTGCCCGAATGACAACCTTCCTGCATTTCATCCCCAGTCTGTCCCCTTCAGTTCAGGCTGGTGGCATTTCTGCTGAGCTGATTTCCTGGATCCCCACGTCACATGTCTAATCTCTCAGCAAACGGGTGTCCAGCCACACCCTTGGGATTCTCTCCAGAGTTCTGGTTTCATTTTAGTGGGTTTTTCTTCTCCTTCTCCTTCTCCTTCTCCTCCTCCTCCTCCTCCTCCTCCTCCTCCTCCTCCTCCTCCTCCTCCCCCTCCCGCTCCCCCTCCTCCTCCTTCTTTAAATTTATTTGACAGAGAGAGACACACTGAGAGAGGGAACACAAGCAGGGGGAGTGGGAGAGGGAGAAGCAGGCTTCCCACTGAGCAGGGAGCCCGACGCAGGGCTCGATCCCAGAACCCTGGGATCATGACCTGAGCCGAAGGCAGACGCTTAACGACTGACCCACCCAGGCGCCCCTTTTCTTCTTCTTCTTTGATTTATCTCTGTCCTCTTGCATTTTAAGTTCTTAAGGCTAGAGGTCCATGATGGAGGTGGCAGCGGGACTGTGCTCCCTCTGAAGGTGCCGGGAAGGATCTGTTTCAGGCCTCCGTCCTAGCTTCTGGAAGGTCCTTGTCTTGTGGCCGCCACTCCACTTATCACATGGCGTTATGGTGTTGTCCCTGTTGTGTCATCCGTCTGGTTTCGGGAGCAAGAGAGCGCTCACAAAGCCCTCTCAAAGGCCAACCCAAACGTATCCTCTTGACAATTTAGTGAATGCATCTCATTCCTCCTGCATTTCTTTTTTTTTTTTTTTAAGATTTTATTTATTTATTTGAGAGACAGAGAATGAGAGACAGAGAGCATGAGAGGGGGGAGAGTCAGAGGGAGAAGCTGACTCCCCGCTGAGCAGGGAGCCCGATGCGGGACTCGATCCCGGGACTCCAGGATCATGACCTGAGCCGAAGGCAGTCGCTTAACCAACTGAGCCACCCAGGCGCCCTCCTCCTGCATTTCTGTCTAAGCTCAGAGTTGTTTTTCATCACAAGGAACTCAGAGTTGACAACCCGGCTCCTAATTACCAGTGTGAGGAAGGTGGGCATGTCCAGGACATGTGGGTGTTTGTTAGGCTGTGGCTTTGGATTCGAACAGGGCAGCAGATGGAAATGAGGCCAGGGGGGCGGGTAGGGCCTCAAACACCTTTGTCCTGAGGGTGCTTGGAGGCATGGAAGGACGGCCTCAGCTCTGGCTGCAGAAAGATCCTTCTGAGTCTAGTGATGAACTTACTGGAAAGCGCAACACTGGAGGCCGAGAGGTTCAGGGAAGAGAGAAAGAGGAGGCCCAGGTTGGGGCCTCAAGGTGTTTCTCATCTCCCCAGGCCCCCCTCGCCCGGCCTCGGATGAGTGCTCAGGAGCAGATGGAGAGAATACGCAGAAACCAGGAGTTTGGACGGCCTCTCCCTCGCCCGGCCTCGCCCCGGCTTCTCACTCTGGGGGGGACGCTGTCCCCAGCCAGACGCCAGCCTGACACAGAACCGAGGGTGAAGGGAACAGAGGGTGCAAGGTGGGGCGGTGGGGTGGTAGTGGATCCTCTGTTTCTAGTGTGAGCCTCAGTTTCCCTCTCTGTAAAATAGGGATTTCCCTCCCTCTTTACCCAGAGCTGGGTTTCCAAGTTCACCCCAAAGTGTACCTACGCTGGTAGCTCCCCTTGTGGGGTGGGGGCGGGGGAGGCAGAGACCTCTTCACTTCACCAATGTTTTTCCCTCAGGATGGCGGTCACAGGTCTGGACTGTGGGCCCTGCTTTTTTTTTTTTTTTTTTTTAGTTACTATGTATTATCAAAGGGGGGATAAATGAGCAAGTAAGGAAATGATTATATTCATACCGTCGCAATGGGGAGAGCCTTCCAGATCTGAAGATAAGAGTCTCTCGGCCGATGGTTCCATCTGAGACTTTCCTAGGGAGTAATTAGACAAGTCATAGGTAGGGTGATTTTACAGCTGGGATTATTTCTGTAATCAGGAGGCGTCTCAGTCAGCTGAACACCAAATGTTTATCTCTCTGTCTAGTTAGTATTAGGGGGACGAGCAGTTCAGCTAATTCCTTATGAGCCAAAAATTGTGAATTTGGAGGGCCTGTTCCTGGCCTTGTCATAGGTAAATAAGGGGATGATCATCTGTCAGTCCTGTGGAGGTCATATGAAGAGAGGTTCTGTGGTAAGCCATTTCCCAGAGCGCAAAAGGATGTGTTGGGGGGGGGGGATTTTCTTAACTCTTGCTGTTTTCCAGGAATGCATGTAAAGTTAAACATTGTCTCTGGGGCGATTTCATTCCCTCTCTGAGCCCCCTTCATTTCACCCTCAAAATGAGAACGTGGGCACTTCCAGGTGAGGAGGAATTTTAAGGCCCCAATTCCTTTGCAGCCTGTCCAGGGACACTCAGGAGCCCCCAAATGGCTCAGAAGCTCTGGATCCTGGAGCAGGTAAAGAACTGGAGAGTGGGGCAAAAAGCAGGAAATCAATTTCCAAAGGGAAGGCATTATTATTGCTGTCTTTTGAGTACTAAAGTTACAGATTGCAGAACCTTCTAGAGATGCTTGACTTCCTGGGGCATCAGAAAGCACCTAGATCTACATGAGAACTGCAGTTCCCCAAACTGCAGAACTGGGTCGATATCAAACTCCGCTCCTGCGTCAGGAAAGCGGGTGAAATTTAGGGAGGACTAGACTACAAATCCCACAAGGCGCGCAGGCCTCTATGAGGGCCACACCCTGTTTAAAGTCCTTTAGGGACGTGGCCTAAGGACTACAACTCCCAGAAGGACGCGCGTGGCACTGCAGTACTAGCTAATTGTCGACGTCCCCCAGATCTCTCTCTCTCTTTTTCTTTTTCAGTCCGAGGAATACCACCCCTTATTTGCCGACAGCCGAAGGGCACCGGGAGAGAGTCCTCAGCCTCTCTCAAGCTCTGGCCACGGAGGCATCGCAGTGGCACAGAATGATGACGGGTGAGGAGGGGCTGGGGACCTTGGACTCCTGGGTTTTGGGGAAGAGGGACCCAGAGCCTGGAATCCTTGGTTCTGGTCGGGAGGGTTCTGGGAGCTGCTGGGATCCTATGTCTGGATGGGGAGAGTGCCGTAGAGGGTTTTGGGGAGTTCCAGATCCCAGGCAGGAGGAGACAGGGGTTCAAGACTCTTGGATCTGGGGGTGGAGGGGGGGGCAGGCCTGTGGGTCTGAGGGAGGAGGGGACTGAGGGTCCGGACTCCTGTGTCCCAAAGTTTGCCATTCTCACCGTCCACTCGTGCCGTCCAGGTGGAAACTCGGACTCCCGAGGAGACCCTCTTCCCCCTGCGCCACCGCCTCCGTCAGACCCCACCCCCCAGGTGACCTCGCCCCCAAGATCTCCAGTGGCTAATTCCCGCTCCGCCGGGTTCTCCCGCCGAGGTAGTGGGCGCGGCGCAGGCCCCGCCTCCTGGGAGCCCACGTGGGAATCCGGGACCGCCCCCCCCGCCATGACCCAAGAGGAGGGGGCGTGGCCTCTGCGAGTCACGCTGCTGCAGTCCAGCTTCTGACCCGCCCGAGCGCCGCAGCCCGTCGGAGCGTGGGGGCGGGGCCCGGAGGAACCGCCCCGCGATCTGGAGCCACTCAGGGCGCCTGGGGGCGTGGTCTGGTCCTCGTTGGCTTGGGGAGGGAGACGTTTCTATGGCCAAAGTTTGGTTTTCCCAGCACTTGTCCAAATTCGGATTAAAACTTTGAACTTTTAGTCAATAGCTTCCTCTCTGTCTGTCTGAGGTTGTGACGCTGGGGTCTCTTCGGGACAGAGCTGGAGTCGTGGACTCCTGTGTCCTGAGGGTCTGGAACCTGTAGGTCTGGAAACGGAGGGAGCTGGGGCCTGGATTCCTGGGTCTGAGGGAGGAAGGGGCTGGACGCCGTAAATCCTGGGTTTGAGGAAGGAGGGGATCGGGTGGGGGGGGGCCCGGACTCCTGGCTCTGAGGGAGGAGGGAGCCGAGGCCAAACTTCCAGGCTTCTGGCCTTCCTGGCAACGCCCCCCCCAGGGCCGGGCTTCCAGGATCCAGCCCCTATTTAATGGTTCGGCTCCACGGCCTCACCCGACTTTGGGGGTGGAAGGAAGCCCAGAGCGAGTGACAGGGAGAAACAGACAGAAGCAGAATGGCGACGGGAACGCGCTATGCCGGGAAGGTGGTGGTTGTGACAGGGGGCGGGCGCGGCATCGGAGCCGGGATCGTGAGAGCCTTCGGTGAGTAGGGGTCTGGCTGCTCGGGAATATTGGAGACCGGGAGAAGAGGGACCCTGGGAACTAGTGGGTGTGGGATCTTCAGTACTGGAGCCAAGATTCTTATTAAAACCCAAACTGCGATGCTAATGAAAGGATAGGCAGTATAAGCCTGGGGCCTGAGCTTTTGGCGGGTCTCCAAAAATGGTTACTCCCTTTCTCTGGGTCTCAGTTATTGTATCTACAAAGTGGGTGGTTGGGGAATGGCACTTGCAGGTTTAGGGTTTATTCTGGAACCCAGGGATGGGGGGCTCAGGAACCCCAGAAGGCACCTGGAGTGGCCAACGAGAATATGTGTCAAGTTTTCTGCCCTTTGATCTAGAGGATCATCATGAGACTTTGGGGTCACGAGGGGAACGTTTGGGAAGATGGGCCCCCACTCCAGGAGGCCACAAGAGGGCAGCAGAGGCCTTTGCCAAGGTCTGGGCTGGGGTAACCTGTTCTTCCATTCTCAGTGCAAAACGGCGCCCAAGTAGTTATCTGTGACAAAGATGGTGAGTGAGTCTCTCAGTCCTCACCCCCAGCCCCTCCTCCCTCAGACCCAGGGGTCCAGGCCCCCAGCCCCTCCTCCCTCAGACCCAGGGGTCCAGGCCCCCAGCCTTTCTCTCCCTGCAGAGTCTAGGGGTCGGGCCCTGGAGCAGGCACTTGCTGGAACTCTCTTTATCCTCTGTGATGTGACTCGGGAGGAAGATGTGAGGGTGAGCTATTCCTGTCCCTGCCTGGTCCCAAAGGTTTAGGCTCAGCCTCATTTCCAGGCTTTCCCCCCTGGCCAGGTTCCGGGTCTCTTGGGAAGGTTCTCCTTTCTCTCTCACTACTTCAAGGCTCTTGTCACACCTGTCACAGAGATTGGAACAAAAAAGTCCCTCACAGTGGATCTCCTTCTGGAAGAGTTTCCTTCTCTTGTCTCTGGGTTCCTAGCCCTTCCCTTCAGTCAATGTTTCTCTGATGTGCGCCCCCCACCCTGACCCTGAGCCCGGGTCTCTGCAGTGTGAATATAACCAGCCCTCTGGGCTCTGGCTCCCCTGGCTTCCTGTCTCCTCTTCTCCTCTCATGCTTGATGATTTGCGGGAGTCCCCACTTCCCGTAGTTCTTGTCCCCTCGGTTGTGATCCAGCTTCCCCCTCCCCACCTTGCTTTTGGGAGTCCAGGCTCCTCAAGGCTGGGTGCCCGCACTGCCCGCTTACAAGACATCTTTGTCCTCAGACCCTCATTTCTGAGACCGTCCGCTGTTTTGGCCGCCTGGATTGTGTGGTCAATAACGCTGGCTACCGTGAGTTGTGAGGCCCACGGGCCCTTCTCCACTGCTGTCAACCTACCTCCTGGCTTCCCATCCCTTCCTCCCCCACCTCAGTTTCCCCTTCGTCTTCCCCATCCCCTTCTCCGTCCCCTTGGATGGGACAGTAGAGCTAAGGAATCCCCCTGCTCCTGGGCTTACGTCCTGGGTCCTGGCTCCGTTCCATCCCTGCCGGGTGCCCTCAGGCCCGTGTCCTCCCCTCTCTGTGCTTCAGTTCCTAGATTTCTAGAATGGGAATGATGATGATCATCATCATTACAGAGTTGTTGTGAGTATTGAATAAGGTAAATTGCTCAGCCTCATAATTACCAAAACTATTTTGGGAAAATAGCTTCCAGAAGTCTTGTGGTCTCAATTTGCTTATCCATGAAGTGACGTGGATGGCCCTTCTCTTTGCTGATGACTATGAAGATATCCTCATGCATGAGGTTTATAGGTCTTAGTGTGGTATCTTTGAAGGGAAAATGCCATCAGCTTAATTATTACCCTTCCTAAGAATCTCTCATGCTGGGGCGCCTGGGTGGCTCAGTTGTTAAGTGTCTGCCATCGGCTCAGGTCATGGTCCCAGGGTCCTGGGATCGAGCCCCGCATCGGGCTCCCTGCTCCGCGGGAAGCCTGCTTCTCCCTCTCCCACTCCCCCTACTCGTGTTCCCTCTCTTGCTATGTCTCTCTCTGTCAATTGGATAAAATCTTAAAAAAAAAAAAAAAAAAAAAGAATCTCTCATGCTGGTAAACCAGGGCTCAGAGGGGTGAACTGTCTGTACTGAGATCACACAGCAAGGCTGTGCTAAGAGAGACACCCCCCACTACTACCCCCCCCACACACACTTATTGGCTGGGCAACTTTAAGCAAGTGGCTCACCCTCTCTGGGCTGCATTTTCCTCCGTATATTGTTGTAAGGATCAAAGAGATGGCGAGTACTAGTTCATTCTTTCTGTGTTCTTTGTACATTCAAGAGATATTTACTGAGCACCTACTATGTCCCAAGTTCTTTCCTGGGGACTGGGCAATGAGCAGTGAATGAAAGAGACAAAAACATTCTTGTCTTCTTGGGATTCACATGCTGGAGTAAGGAAATAGACAAGAAAGGATAAAGTTAAGCCTCCCCGTTGGTGGTTTCCGTATTCGTGAAATCACCAACTCACACACAAAATAGCCTCAGTACTCACTGCTTTCCAGGTGTTTTGCGTATTTGCAGGGAGGGAAAGTGGCAAGAAAAATCCCCAGTTGCCTGAAGCACTTGTTCCCAGTGGAAGTCAAACAAGGTGTGACTCTGCCCTGGAGCCAGCTGGATGGGTTAGCATCCCCAGCTCTGGCCTCCAGCTAATGGCTTAACACCTCTGAGCCTTGTTTGGAAAATAAATAAAATAGAGTCTCCCCATCGGAATTGTTTTGAGGATTTAAGACTCTAATCTGATAGGCAGATAGCTATAGAGTATATGTATATACATGTCTACAAGCAGACAAATAGAGAGTGTCTTAGTCTGTTTGGGCTGCTAGAACAGAAATCCCACGGCCGGGGAGGGCTCAAGCAACAAATGTTTATCTCTCACAGTTTTGGAGGCTGGGAAGTCAAGGTCAAGGTGCCAGCAGATTCGTGTCTGGTGAGGGCGGAAAGGACAAGGGGATCTCTGGGGTCTCTTTTCTAAGTGCAGTAAATCCCATTCATGAGGGGTCCATCCTCGCAACTTAAAAATCCCCTCCCATAGACCGCACCTCCAAATGCCATCACACAAGGTTAGGATTTCAACACATGAATTTGGGGGGCGTGGGGGACACATTTAGTCCATCGCATTTACACATTACTATATAATAGGTACCTATCTCCCGTGGGAGCAATAGATGAATATTCATTAATAAAGTATTCACTGAAATTTTGTAGACCATAACTGCCTTGAATAATAGAATCGACTGTATATACTAACATGTTTGGTGGTGATAAAGGCTATGAAGAAAAATAAAGTCAGGGCACCCAGCTGGCTCAGTCAGTGGAGACTGCGACTCTTGAACTTGGGGTCGTGAGTTCGAGCCCCACATTGAGTGTAGAGCTTACTTAAAAAAAAAAAAAAAAAGCTGTTTAGGGTCTAGAAAATGGCAGGGGCTGTTTTCAACAGAGGATCCAGGACGGATTCTCTGAAGATGTTTGAGCAGATCGCTGAAGGAAGCCAGGCCACAAGCCCTGGGTCCCTGGGGAAGAACAATCCAAGAGTCCCTCAACTTTCTGGCCGCCATCTTCTTTTCTTTCTCCTATTGTCTCCTAAAGCCTTTGGAGCTTTCAGGGTACGTTCCTCCGACCTGCCTGTCTTTTCTCCTTGTTGTTTTTTTGTTTTTTTTTTAAGATTTTATTTATTTATTTGAGAGAGAGGATGAGAGGAGAGAGAGAGCACATGAGAGGGGGGAGGGTCAGAGGGAGAAGCAGACTCCCTGCCGAGCAGGGAGCCCGACGCGGGACTCGATCCCGGGACTCCAGGATCATGACCTGAGCCGAAGGCAGTCGCTTAACCAACTGAGCCACCCAGGCGCCCTTTTCTCCTTGTTCTTATCCCCCTATCTTTCCAGCTCCTTTTCTTCTGAACATTGATTTTTCTGTCCCTCTAGCCATTACCCCTCCCCTCCCACCACTTCCTCCTATTTATTTTACAAATACATTAAGGGACTAAGGGTCAGGCACAAATATTGACTCATGAAAAAAAATTCTTTTAAGATTTTATTTATTTTATTTTTTAAATTTAAACTCAATTAGACAACATACAGTATAAGATTTTATTTTTCTTTATTTATTTTTAAAGATTTTATTTATTCATTTGAGACACAGATACAGAGAGCGAGAGCGAGCATGAGCAGGGGGCGAGGCAGAGGGAGAGGGAGAAGCAGGCTCCCCGCTGAGCAGGGAGCCCGATGCGGGACTCGATCCCAGGACCCCGGGACCATGACCTGAGCTGAAGGCAGACCCTTAACCAGCTGAGCCACCCAGGTGCCCCTAAGATTTTATTTTTAAGTAATCTCTACATCCAACGTGGGGGCTTGAACTCACAACCCTGAGATCAAGACCTGAGATCAAGTGTCGGATGCTCTACCGACTGGGCCACTCAGGTGCCCCCAGATTTGGGAAACTTCTAAGCCCAAGAGCAAAGTGTCATCCTCCTTATGTAGATAGAGAGACTGAGGCACAGAGAGGCAAAGTGACTTGCCCAGAGTCACACAGCCAGGAAATGGCAGGGGCCCATACTGGAACCCAAGCCTTCTGGCCTGAGGCGGCTTTTTAATTCACTGTTATGCAACCCCAATTCCTTCTCCCGATCCCTGACCCTCTTGTCTGCCCCCCCAACCCGGTGCCCCCTCCCCCCATATCCCTATTTCTTCCCTGTTCTCTGTATCACTCCCTCATTCTCTCTGCCTCTCTGTCCCCCACCCTTAGATCCACCTCCGCAGTGGCCTGAGGAGACGTCTGCCCAGGGCTTCAGGCAGCTGCTGGAGCTGAACCTGCTGGGGACATACACCGTGACCAAGGTGAGGACTGCAGCCCCAGCTGCCAGGCCAGGGGGCCTCCTGATGATAAGACTGTCAGACCCACTTTTTTTTAGAGCAGAATGTTTCCTCTGCCTTGGTTTGATCTTCAAAAGGATTCTGTTCTTTAAAGCAAGTAGATGGGAGCAAATCCCTACATCCAGCCAAAGCTAACTGTGTGGGTACCTGGCCCAGTCCCCTTAGGGACCTTCCAGAACCTTCCAGAGTGGTGTGCTGGTTGTGTTGGGGGATGTCAGAAACAGGGGGAAAAGGGCTGAGGCAGGGAGTCAGTGATAGGCAGTTACAGCTTTTCCACCCTGTGAATCACTATGGGGAACAAAGAGCTTCTTTTTTTTTTTTTTTTAAAGATTTTATTTATTTATTTGTGAGAGAGAGAATGAGAGACAGAGAGCATGAGAGGGAGGAGGGTCAGAGGGAGAAGCAGACTCCCCGCTGAGCAGGGAGCCCGATGTGGGACTCGATCCCGGGACTCCAGGATCATGACCTGAGCCGAAGGCAGTCGCTCAACCGACTGAGCCACCCAGGCGCCCCTCTTTTTTTTTTTTTTTAAAGATTTTATTTATTTGACAGAGAGAGACACAGCGAGAGAGGGAACACAAGCAGGAGGAGTGGGAGAGGGAGAAGCAGGCTCCCCGCGGAGCAAGGAGCCCGAAGCGGGGCTCGATCCCAGGACCCTGGCATCATGACCTGAGCCGAAGGCAGACGCTTAATGACTGAGCCACCCGGGCGCCCCATAGAAAACTTTTTTTTTTTAAGTAGGCTCCATGCCCAGCGTGGAGCCAACTCACAACCCTGAGATCGAGACCTGAGATCTCGATCAAGAGTTGGATGCTGAACTGACTGAGCCACCCAGGCGCCCCTATAAAACTTTTTTATTTTGACATTTTGCAAGCATACAGAAAAGTAGAGAGATTGTGGGCCAAATTCCACATACCCATCACCCAGCAACCATTATCAACATTCTGTCATTCTTCCTGTGGACCCCTCACTTTTTTCTTTTCTTCCCTTTTCTTTTCTTTCCTTTCCTTTCCTTTTCTTTTTCTTTCTTTCTTTCTTTTTGCTGGGGTATTTTATTTTTATTTTTATTTTTTAAAGATTTTATTTACTTGACAGAGAGAGACAGCAAGAGCAGGAACACAAGCAGGGGGAGTGGGAGAGGGAGAGGCAGGCTTCCTGGCAAGCAGGGAGCCTGATGTGGGGCTTGATCCCAGGACCCTGAGATCATGACCTGAGCCGAAAGCAGACACCTAAGGACTGAGCCACCCAGGTGCCCCTGGGGTATTTTATTTTTAAAAAAGATTTGTTTATTTATTTATTTTAGAGGGTGGGGGAAGGGCAGAAGGAGAGGGAGAGAAGCAGACCCCCCGCTGAGTGCAGAGCCTCACAAGGAGCTCGATCTTACGACCCTGAGATCATGACCCAAGCCAAAAATCAAGAGTCTGATGCTCAACCAACTGAGCCACCCAGGAACCCCTTTTGCTGGAGTATTTTTTTTTTTAAGATTTTATTTATTTATTTGACAGAGAGAGACACAGCAAGAGAGGAAACACAAGCAGGGGGAGTGGGAGAGGGAGAAGCAGGCTTCCCCCAGAGCAGGGAGCCTGATGTGGGACTCAGTCCCAGGGCCCTGGGACCATGACCTGAGCAGAAGGCAGTTGCTTAACGACTGGGCCACCCAGGCGCCCTTGCTGGAGTATTTTAAAGCAAATCTCAGACATACTTTACATGTAAGTAATTTAGTATGTGTTTTTAGCAGACGAGATTTTGTTTTGTTTGGGTTTTTTGTTTTTGTTTTGTTTTGTTTTGTTTTTTTAGATTATTTATGTGCTTTTTGAGACAGGGTGGAGGTGGTCAGAAGGCTTCTCTGAGAGGTGACATTAAATCAAGGATATGCGTGGGGCAGAGTGGGCCAGGGAGGACAGCCTGTGCAAAGGCCCTGGGGTGGGGACTGCTCCGAGTGTAGGAGGAACAGCAAGAGGCCAGGGTGACTGAGGCAGGGCAAGGGGGAGAGGGCGGGAGGTGAGAGCAGAAAGGGGACAAAAGGGCCTAGATCATATCTGGATTTGTCAACCACGGAGAGGACTTTGCTTTGGCGCTTGAGCCTGGAGCCAACGAAGTGAGCTGCTGTAAGTGGGAACCGGCGCCCTCCGGCGGCCACGTGGGGAACAGGCGGGGGCGAGGACTAAGGCAAAGGGCCCAGGGTGGTCCAGGCAGGAGGTGATTTGAATCCGACCGGGTCGGTGGCGGTGGATTTAGTGGGAAGTGTTCCGATTCCGGATCCATTTTGAAAGTAGAATTGTCAGGATTTCCTTGTAGACTAGACGTGGGGGGTGGACTCGAGAAAGAAAGGAGTGCGGTTTTGGCTTCTTTGTCCCCCACTGGCCGCAGGACTGAGTTGCCATCCGTTGCCAGGGGGAAGCCTGGGGAGGAGCCGGTGGACTGGGAGACCTTTTCAGGGGGTGTGGGGGTGTGGTGCCCTGCCCATGTCCACTTGGGATTCTTGAGTCTGGGGTGAGGGGAGAGAGAGGTTTGGAGTCATCACTTGGGAGCTCACCAGCCTGAGCCTGGAGTAGGTCTGAAAAACCAGGGTTTCATTTAGTCTGCTAAATGCCGCCTCCTACCTGCAAAGGGGCGCCTGGGTGGCTCAGGTGGTTGAGCATCAGACTCTTGATTTTTGGCTCGGGTCATGATCTCAGGGTCCGGGGTCGTAAGATCGAGCCCCTTGTGAGGCTCCGCGCTCAGCGGGGAGTCTGCTTCTCTCCCTCTCCTTCTGCCCTTCCCACACCCTCTAAAATAAATAAATAAACAAACAAATCTTTTAAAAAAATAAAATACCCCAACAAATAGCAGTGTAGACAGAGAAGGTAAATTGCAATGTAGACAGAGAAGGGAGGAGCCCCAGGAGTGGGCAGGGCGGGGGGGTCACTAGTGTGAGGAAGATCAGGTGCTATTTTTGAGGTCTCACCTGAGATCCAGGTGAAATGTTTCTGGGCAGTTGGGTGCTCTTGCTCAACCTGTGGACCCTCACTCCCATCCCTCACTTGTGTTCACCTCTGTTGTCACTTCCATACGATAAGATATATACCACAGCCCATAAAGGGAATATATATATAATTATATATTATATATGTAATTATATATATAATCTCTCAGTGCCCAGCACTTTTTTTTTTTTTAAGATTTTATTTACTTATTTGACACAGAGAGAGAAAGCGCAAGCAGGGGGAGCGGCAGGGAGAGGGAGAAGCAGGCTTCCGGCTGAGCAGGGAGCCTGAAGCGGGGCTCGATCCGAGGACCCTGGGATCATGACCTGAGCCGGAGGCAGCCGCTTCACCGACTGAGCCATCCAGGTGCCCCAGTGCCCACCATTTAAAAAGAGAGGGATTTCTCATAAGCAACCAGATCTCTGGTTTCCCTTGAAAGGTTGGCAAGCTGGACCCATGGGGCAGAACAACTGTCTGCTAAATGGGGCATGACTCTCCATTATATCCCAGTCCCCACCTCTCCCGATGGGGCTACCTGACTCTGTTAGGTGTGAATGGCTGGTACAGAACCCTCGCGTAGGAGTAAAGGTCCAGCCCAAGGAGACAGGCCTGCCCAAGCTCTCTGCCACCTCCTACCTGCAACATGGCAAGTTACTCAATCTCTCTGCACCTGGGTTTTCTCCTGTGAAAAATGAGGCTGATCATGGCATCTGATTCACTGGATTGTTCCTGAGAATTGAATGAGGGTAAAATACCCACAAAGCCCTTAGAACATGCCTGGCACAGAGTTTACTGTCTGCACATTTTTATTACTTATTGTGAACATCGCCCCATTCTGTTTCCTATGGCCAATCTACCTAACTCAGGTTGAGCTCATCGAAATAAACGTTGGGCAGATGAAGCCTGGCAGAAGTAGAAGGGAAAAGGTGAGGTTTGAGCTGAACCCTGAGTGGGAGGAAAGGAATTGGAGAAGTAGGCCACAGGGTGTATCATTTACCAAAAAAGAGTGTGCAAAGGTCCTGGGGGCAGTAACCACCCAGGTGTTTTTTGTTTTTTTTTTAAATTTTATTATGTTATGTTAGTCACCATACAGTACATCATTAGTTTGGATGTGGTGATCCATGATCCATTGTTTTCGTATAACACCCAGTGCTCCATGCAGTACGTGCCCTCCTTAATACCCATCACCGAGCTAACCCAAACCCCCTCCCCCCTCCCCTCTAAAACCCTGTTTGTTTCTCAGAGTCCATAGTCTCTCATGGTTCATCCCAGGTGTGTTTTAAGAACAAGAGACACTCATCTCCCATCTCCACCTCCAGTTTAGCAATTAGAAGCATTTTATTAAATTGTTCTATCCATTGCCTCCTGCCATCCCCTACCGAGACATCCTATGATTTCATCAGTAGAAACTTCATAAATACTACCAATGGATTTGAATGTTTACTTATAATTATTGATATAATTTAAGACTCACAAAATCTTGTCAGAATAGTACAGAGAACTCCTGTGTACCCGGACTCCTCATTGTTAATATTTTATTTATTTATTTATTTATTTATTTTTAAAGATTTTATTTATTTATTTGAGAGAGAGAGAATGAGAGATAGAGAGCACGAGAGGGAAGAGGGTCAGAGGGAGAAGCAGACTCCCTGCTGAGCAGGGAGCCCGATGTGGGACTCGATCCCGGGACTTGAGGATCATGACCTGAGCCGAAGGCAGTTGCTTAACCAACTGAGCCACCCAGGCGCCCAATATTTTATTTTTATTAATATTTGTTTGCTTTATTTTTCTGCCTCTTGGTTTGAGGGTAAATTGGAGGCATGATGTCCTTTCACCCCTCCGTACTTTGGAGAATATTTCCTAAAAATGAGAACATTCTCTCATGTAGTCACAGTAAGGTTAACATTGATACCATGGTCTTGGGTAATCTAGAGACCTTCTTATTCAGATTATTAGAATTCTTTTTTTTTTTAAGATTTTGTTTATTTATTTGACAGA